AGAAAACTAGGTCCCAGTCCTACTGTTCCAACCCCAGCAGGAAGGAAAAGCCAAAGCCAGAGTCAGGAGGTAGGCCAGCAGCTTGGTGACAACAGAGTGGCCGTCCTAGCTGAAGTAGACGCCTGCGGTTACTGTAAACCTTAAACCAAGTGTGGTAGTGTGTGGGTGTGTGTGGTGTGTGTGTGGTGTGTGTGTGCACGTGCGTGCATGTGGTGTGTGTGTGGTGTGTGTAGTGTGTGTGTGCATGTGATGTGTGTGTGGTGTGCGGTGTGTGCATGAGCATGCATGTGGTGTGTGTGTGCATGCACGTGCGTGTGGTGTGTGTGGTGTGTGTGTGCACACGCGCATGTGTGTGCACGCACGTGTGTGGTGTGTGTGTGTTTACTCCCACTAAGCCTAGCAGAGGACACCAGAATCCCTAGAGCTGGGGTTACAGATGGTTGTGAGCCATCCGCTGAGTGCCAGGAAATGAACTCTGGCCCTCTGCAAAAGCAGCAGTTGGTCTCAACTGCTGAGCCATCTCTCCCACCCCAGCAGGGCTGCTCCTAAGACCTAAACACGAGGATCAGTTGCCACCCAGGGCGCCTTGGTTATTCTACTACAGCACGGGGGTGGAAGGGGTCAGGAGGAGGTTGTGGCAAGGGAGTGGATCCTGCTCAGCTGCTGAGTTTACGCAATTGGAAGTTAGGGCTATGGCGCCCAGTGGCTCTGAGCTCTGTGACAAGGAGCCAGCCCTACCACCAGGGGACTACAGAGATGGAGCACATGACTTCTGAAACTGCCTCTCTGTCAACAGGCTTTGCTCTCAGGGACAAGGGGCCCTGAACACAGGTGCAGAAACTGCCCAGTTTCTCTGGCTTTTCCCCTCCTGCAGGGCAGCTCATTGCTGAGTGGGGGCTGAATGTTCCGAGCCCAGCAGGCAGAGTTCCCTCAGTACTTTAACCCCAGAGAATGAGTGTATAGTTTGTTTACTTCCCCAGCTCTCTCCGGAGCACTCGGAACATTCCTAGGCTTGGACCTTCACAACCCCTGGGCAAACAAAAGGGTACACCTCAGAAGTGAGAGGAAACTGCTCTCTGAGACTCTGGCCACAAAGGTTCTCAGGGCCAACAGCGGCTTCCAGTACCAGAGCTTAAGAGAATGCAGCCTGAAGTGGAGACGGACCCTGGACCAGCTCAAACCAGCTGTGTATAGGGGTGTGTAGACCTCACAGTGGGGGCTGCAAGAGTCCCAGCTCTCACTCGCTAGGGCTCCTCCAGGCAGTCTGATGCGGGAATAATTCAAGTATTCCTTAACTTTTGGTAGTGTTTTTAGTATTGCTTTTTATTGTGTTTTTGTTTTTAAAAATCTTTCACAATTAAATCTTGATTCCTCTTCTTGCCTGTAGCACTTGGTGATAACCATGACACCAGAAGTCAGACTGGAAGTAACCTCAGCTCTGACGGAGGTAGAGAGTATTTCTGGGGCTGAGAAGACAGAGCCCTGGGCTCAGGGAGAAACCTTGCCTCAAAGGAATAGGCAGAGAGTCAATGAGGATCATACTCCATGTCCTCTTTTGGGCCCATGTGTGCACACAGCATGCACCCTCACACACATGTGTGCACTATACTCACTAACACAGACACACATAAACAAAAGCTCTTATTTGGGGGCGGGTATGATCGAGGTATGTAATACACATATATGAAAATGTTGCTTTAGGGCTGGAGAGATGGCTCAGTGGTAAAGAGCATTGCCTGCTCTTCCAAAGGTCCTGAGTTCAATTCCCAGCAACCACAGGGTGGCTCACAACCATCTGTAATGAGATCTGGTGCCCTCTTCTGGCCTGCAGGCATACAGGCAGACAGAATATTGTATACATAATAAAAATAAATATTTTTTTAAAATGTTGCTTTAGATTCATTAATTTCCACCTGTATGGCTATATTAAAATATATTAAGTTTTTTTTCTTTTTTTTTTAAATATTTATTTAAAAAAACCTCAGAGGGCCACAAAGCTAAGGGCTCCCAGTCAGCAGTGGCAACAAACGCAGATGTTTTTATAACTAGTTAAGGAAAGTCACTAAAGATAGGCGGAAGCAGCATCAGTAAACAGCAAAAACAACTCAGGAGCGATTACGCCCGACACTTTATTGTGCTGCTATGATTACTCGGAAGGCGCGGGGTGGGGCATCTTAGGAGTTCTAGTACATCATCCTTTCATAAAGCTAAAGGAGAAAAATTTCAAAATAATGCCAGAGCTTTCACTCTCCTGGGGATTTTTCTCCCACACAAGTCGTCTTCAGAAGCTTCTGAAGACGGAACACGTGCACCCTGCCGTCTCTGTGGTCACGAAAGCATCTCAGTGACTCCTGGCTTGCCTTGTAGACTCACCAGCGGGGTGTCTATCAGTCACTGTGGCTCTGCTGGGGGTGGGGGTAGAAGTGGGGGCAGTCCTCACCCACACCCGGCTTACACCCTTGCCTGTTGTCTGACAGCTCTATCATCTAGTTCCTGAACAAAAAGAGCAAACTGGGAGGGGCAGGCCATGTAAACAGAATTCAGGTCTCAGATGAGAGCCATATAGGCCAGATCCCCAAAGAACAGACCTGATGAAGGCCATGGGACACAGGAAGTCAGTCCTGCCCACCCATTTCCAGACTCGTTCAGGACCAAAGAGGCCTGCTAGAAATATAAGGAGCCTACAAGTCTGGATAGAATCTTGGACTGGTGGAAAGACAACGGTGACGTCTCCCATTCTACCGACTGCACAGACAAGCCGTGCTGAACACCGTCGGTTTCCATGACATCCCAGTGCTCAACCCCATTACAATGTTTGAGGTCAGCTTAGCTGGTCAGGGTTCCTAAAGCTCCTAGGGTCACTCTAATGTGAAGCAAGGTTGAGGCCCACTCCCATAAACGCAGCAAGTCTTGGGAACCAAAAGTCAGAAGCCCCTACCTGTCCTCCTGACCACAAGCTCGGCGGTCTTCAATGGCCAGGACTTGCTGCTTCCGACCAGCACGTCTTTGAAAAACACATTAGCAGCTGCCTTTATAATTCAGCCAATTAATGGGGCAGCAGGTTCTTTCAGAGTCTGATGGCGCAAGAGAGGATTAAAAAAAAGTGGAGGCTCTTCCTAGTGGGCCATGGACAAGAAGTGGGGCCGGCAATACCAATAATCCTCCTTATCGTTACTCTTAAGATCAGCCACGTGGCAAGCCAAGGATCTCAGGTCACCACTGCTGGATTTGCAGTAGCGTAACAATTGATCTGAGACACACGGATGAGAGTGAGGGCAGGGAACTGGGTGTTCTCTCTTCTCAGTGGGTCCCTGCAACACATATGCCCTGGGGAGCCCAGCCCAGGAACCTCCCTCACTCCTATGCACGCCGTGCCCAGGCGTAGGAGCACAAGCATTTGACCTACTTTGGGTTCCTGCCTCTTTTCCTCCAGCCATCTCTCCATGGAAACCACCTTTGAGTTCAAACTGCAGGCTAGAGGTGCAGGTGGCTCAGCCCAAGAAGTTGTTCCAGTTTACACACTCTGGGAGACTAGCGGGTCTCTCACTCCTTTCCGGTTTCTGCTTAAAATTCTTTACCTCAGTTTTCAGAAATAGTGTTGTTTCTTACAAGGTGTGGCCCAGAAAACAGAGGACTGGAACTTAGGAGTCAACCTCTGTACCCAGATCCGTCCCAGCCCAGAGCCCATCCAAGCCCTCCTTCCTCATTCTCCTAAATCAGGGTGTAGATTTCAGTCCCTGTGGGGGGGGCGGTGATTGTGGAAAGCCGTTCTCAGGGAAACCAGTTCCCTTAGTAACTGATGAGTCTGTTGAGATGGCTGGGACTGATTATATGATCTCTCTGCCAGGACACAGAGGGTGCAGCAAGCCAGCTCAGGCAGGTGCTGCTAACATCTAGCATTGTACGTAAGGAAACTATGGCTTAGGAGGTGATGTTCTGTGATTACTGAACGCAGTGGGTGGCCTAGCCAGCAGTCATTCCCATCAAGAGTCCTTCGGCATCTCCACCAGCGTCCTCAACACTATCCTCATGCATCTCTCCGTGGATCCCTATGGATAGTGACGACAATGACAACCGATAAGGAGAAGTTGTCCATCTACAGATGCTATGCATAGGCCACCACAGGGGGCACAAGCCCGGAATGGCCTGCGGTGAGGACCAAATAGGTAAAGCCAAGAGAGATGCCTAAAATGGATGAGAGACTCCCAGGAAAAATGCCATGAGGATATTTTAATAAAGTAGAAAAGAAAAAAAAAAAAGAACGTAAGAGATTTGATTTGGCGGCCAGCCACACATTTAACACAGACTCACCAGTCTTGCCTTGCCTTTTCTGGTACGCTGCATGGTTACAGGACAGGGCTTTAACAGATTAGGGCTTAAGTAATTTTTTTTAACACTTTTTGAGTAGTTTTCTAAAGCACATTTTTTTTAAACAAAGAAATGAACTCAGCTTCTAGGAGATTGTTCTCTCATCCCAGGTATGATAGACATCATGTGGTCCTGGCTTATTTCTTGCAACTTAACAGTTCCACCCATGGTCTCGAAATAATGGTTTCATTTTTAAAATGTGTGTGTGCGTCTGTGTGTATGAATGTGTCTGTCTGTGTGCAGTGTGTGTATATATATACACATATATGTATATATAAGTATATATATGTATGTGTTCGTGTATGTATCTTTGTGTGCCTCTCTCTGTGTATATGTGTATGTATGTATATACATATGTGCATGTGTTTGTCTCTCTATGTTTGTCTCTGTGTGTGTGTGTGTGTGTGTGTATCTTGTCAAATGTGTGTAGTAGGTTCCTGTGGATCTAGAAAGGAACACTGGAACCCCTGGAGCTGGAGCTACAGGTGATTTTGAACCTCTTAACCTGGATCCTGGGAACTGAACTCATGTTCCTTGGCAGAGTAGCAAACAAAGTGCCCTTAATCACTAAGCCATCTTTCCAGCCCCAAATGACAGAATTTCACTTTTTTTCTGGCTGAGAATGATCCATTATGTGTGCACACTTGGTTTCTCAGGTGAGAGACGCTCAAGTTGCTTCTATTTTGTTGGTATTGTGACCAGTCTGCAATGAACACGGGAGTGGGGATAGTTCTTCCAGACGCCGGCTTAGCTCTTTTGGATACAGGAAAGTGAGTTTTCTAGGTCACATGTGGTTTTATTTTTAATTTTGGTTTTCTGTAAAATCTGTACAATTGTGTGTGACTTATACTTCAATAATGTTCAACTGTTCCCCTTTCTCCGCATGCTTGCCAACATGAACTTCCTTATTTTCAGGATCTGGGAGGGGAACTGGACAAGAAAGAACTCCCTGCCCCATTGTTTCCTTTATTTCTCAGAATTATGGGTCTCTCAATTGTTATACCAAGGGCTAACATATACTCCTACTTCAGACCACTTTTTCTTACACACAGAATGGAAGCGGACAGTTTGGTATACTGCATCCACTGGGAACACGGCCTCTCTCTTGTAGAACCATCCCTCAATATGATCATATTGTACTATCTGATTGGATGCAAACTCCAAGCAGACTGGAAGGGATGAAGCTAGAACCTCCCCCACTTCTTCCCTTGGGAGCCAGGGAGAGGGAACCCCTTAAGATGTGGTGGGTGGGACGGAAGTGTAGAACCTTTGCTTCTGTAGCTTGCTTGTGCCTTTCGGTCTGTCCCTTTGATCTGCCCCTGCTTAGGCACAATCCCATCTCCCCCTGACAACTGTTATCTAGTTCTGGTGATGTAGCACGAATAATAAAAACCCAGAGACAAATAGTCGGGTTCAAGCCGAAGATCAGAAAAGCAAAGCAGCCAAGCCACTAGAGAGCTCTTACCTCAGACAAACAGAGGGGTGATCCTGTACTCAACGTGACTGCAGACTGCAATGCTCTCCACCAAACCTCAGGCTGCAGACTGAGCTCCGAGCTGCTGTCTCCTCCTGTCTTATATTCCTCTCTGGTTCTGGGATTAGAGGCATGCACCACCACTGCCTGGCTTCTATGGCTAACTAGTGTGGCTGCTGGGATTAAAGGTGTGTGCCACCCCTGCCTGACCTGTGTGTCTGACTAGTGTGCTAACTTTGCACTCAGATCTTTAGGCAAGCTTTATTTATTAAAACACAAATAAAATATCACTATACGGTGAGCTTTTCTGCAGGACACGTGTTGACTAGAGTGTGGCATCTAGGGTTGTATGGCCTCTCTAATGAAGATCACATGTGACTAAAGAGAGACGGGGTCCAAAATATTGGAGAGCAAGGGCCACAAGATTGGCTGTCATTTTTGTCTGTTTGTTTCCCTCATTGCTATAGGACTCTGAGCTTTGATTGTCAAACACTTTAAAGAAATTTTATTTGTCTTGAAGAGGAAGCCATGGATTTATGTTTTAATTTTTGTGTAACATTTATTTTTTAAAATGAATCCTGATGTTGTTACAAATAAGTTTTCTATATCACCCAACAAAATTGGGAGCATGGGGGTGGGAGGGGAGAAGGAAGGGCAGAGGGGGAAGAAGAGGGGAGAAGGAGAACTTGAGGGAACAGAATAGTCGAGTTGGAGGAAGGGCAGATGAGAGAAAGGAAAGAGATAATTTGAGGAAGCCATTATGGGGCTAGCAAGAAACCTAGCACTAGAGAAATCCCCAGAAATCCACAAGGATGACCCAGCTAAAGCCCTAAGCAATAGAGGAGAGGGTGCCCAAACTGGCCTTGCCCTGTAGTCAGATTGATGACTATCTTAAATGTCACCATAGAACCTTCATCCAGTAACTGATGGAAGCAGAGGCAGAGACCCACAGTGGAGCACTGGGCTGAGCTCCCAAAGTCCAGTTGAAGAATGGGAGGAGTGAGAATATGAACAAAGAGGTCAAGACCATGTTGGGGACACCTACTGAAACAGTTTACCTGAGCTAATGGGAGCTCACCAACTCTGCTGGATAGGGAAGGAACCAGCATAGGTCCAAACTAGACCCTCTGAATGTGGGTGGCAGTTTTGTGGCTGGGGCAGACTGTGGGACCACTGGCAGTGGCACCAGGATTTATCCCTACTGCTTGTATTGGCTTTTTTGGAACCCAGTCTTTTTAGATGGATACCTTGCTCAGCCTATATATAGTAGGAAGGGCCTTGGACCTACCCCAAAGCAATGTGCCTTACCCTGTCAGAGGAGTGGATAGGATATAATAGAAATATAGGGCTGAAGAGATGGCTCATTGGTTAAGAATGTTTTCTTCATTCTTATCTTACAGAGGACCTAGATTCAGTTCCCAGTACCCACATCAGGCAGCTCACAACCACCTAAGCACAGTTCTAGGAGATATGATGCCCTCTTCTGGTCTTCATGGGAACCTGCACATACATAATACATGGACATGCTTGTGCTCGCGCGCGCGTGCGCGCGCGCGCACACACACACACACACACTGGGGGTGGGGGGCTGGGAAGATGGTTCAGGGAATAAGATGTTTGCTGGGTTTGCTGTATATACAGGATGACCAGAATCCAGGTCACTAGAACCTACGCCAATGCTGGGAGAGCACAGAGGCCTGCCTGTTTGTCTAAGATTCAGAAAGCAAAGACAGGGGAGCTTCAGAGTAAACTGGCTAGCTACAAGTCCTAGCTTCCTTTCTGTTGCTGTGACAAAACAGCCTGACAAAAAGCAACATAGGGGAGTGCTTATTTCCCTCACAGTCCCAGCAGGAAAATCAAGGTGGCCGGGTCTAAAGCAGCTAGTACGTCCTGATCAGGGCAGCAGAAAGGAATCTGTGCACACCCACTCGTGTGTTTGCTGTGCTCGGTTCAGCTTTTCCACGCTGACACACTTCAGGACCCCCGCCGAAGGCATGGTGCCGTCCATAGTGGGTTAAGTCTTCCTCCATCAATCAGCTTGCTTGAGACAATCCCCTACAAACAAGCCCACAGTCAATCAATGGAGGCAATCCCTCATTGAGACTCGTTTCCCAGGCGGTTCTAGGTTGTGTTGTGTGCAATTGATAATTAAAAGCTAACCATTGCACTAGAGTGGATACGTTGCTGACGTCTGGGCGAAGAGCCATTGAGGAAGACATCAGCCTCAGGCCTCTACACACACTCACATGGCCCCACACATATGAACATGCATACCACACATGCACATACACATACCCTCTCCACGTATACTCAATAAAGTTGAAGATGAGCAACGATGTTGGGCAAGGATGTTGGAAAACATTGGGAACTTCTCCCAAACCATGCAGTCCCTCCAAGTTCATGCCATACTGATCATAGCAACGGCAAAAACAAAACCTAACAACCCTAGCCTGATTAGGGTAAGTTGCAGGCTTTCCCTGTTGCAAAAATCCAGAAACACTAAGATGTAGTTGGGAAAGATTAGAGTGTGTGACTATCTAGTTGGTGACAAGTTCTAGCCTGTGATATCAATATCTAGAAAATGGGCAGGAACTAAACAGAAGCACAAGGCACACAGCACAGCTGATGCACCGGGTTGCTCACAGGCTGTGTGGAAAAGAGGGACTTGCAAAAGCTACATGCTGTGAGATGCCCCTCTGTATGCTGTGAATATATCTTATTACCATTGGTTAATAAAAAAGCTGATTTGGCCAATAGCCAGGTAGACTATAGCTAGGCAGGAAATCCAAGCAAAGATACAGAAAAAAGAAGGTGGAGTCTGGGAGATGCCAGCAGCTGCCAGAGAAGCAAGATGTGAAGTAAAACCATGGCCACATGGCAGTACATTGATTAAGAGAAATGGGTTCATTGAAGATGTAAAAGTTAGTTAGTAATAAGCCTGAGCTATCAGCCAAACAGATTTAAATTAATATTGAATCTCAGAGTGGATATTCCAGAGCTGGCAGATGGGAGAGAAACCTCCAGTTACAGCTACATTTTCACAAGACAACAAAACCCTAAATTTTCAATTTTAGGAAACATCTGTGGCAAGCTCTTTAATTATGCAAAAAAACTTCCCAAGTTACTTAAGACCCTCTTCTTTTGAACCCACCTCCTTTCCTGAAGGAGACAAACCACTCTTTGTTTCTAAGTTGCTTCTGAAGGCAGGAAGACATTACTTGGACATGGCCATTGCTGATGTGACAAATTAGGTCATGTTGTAGTAAGCTGGACCCTTGATCCAATGTAACTGATATCCTTCTAAGAAGAAAAGAGACAGACAGACAGACAGACAGACAGACACACACACACACACACACACACACACACACACACACACACACGGGATGGGGCAGGGACAAAGCTACAAAATGTCAAGAGCCTAGAGCTTGAAGTTCTGCAAATTGGCCCAGAGCCTCCCAAAGTGCTAGAAAGTTCTCTACCGCGGAACTCCAGCCTCAGCCTCGAGTGCTGTAACTGGAAGCTAAGCAGTAAGCAGAGAAGTAAGGAAAGGTTCTCCCCTGCATCTTCTCAAGGAAGTGTGGCTTCGCCCAGATCATGACGGCCAAGGTCTAAGCTCTAGTAAGAGGATGTCTCTGTTTTTTTAAGCCACCTACCTAGTGGCAGTAGTGGGTTAAAGCAGCCTTGGGAAACAACCCTGGGGTAGGGATGACCACTACTGTGCTCACCTTTCCTCTTCTTCCCCATTGCAGACCACCCTTCTCTATCTCAGTGACAAACTCTTGGTGGCCTTTTCCTTTTCCTTGCTGCAACTAGCCCCTCCCCTCTTCACCTTTGAGCACTAAAACTGGATGGGCTGAAGTCCACTAGGATATGCCTGCTCTTTCTTACATCATGATTATAGGAGTACCCATGTACTAGCAAATGACACTTGAAACTATCTCCTGAAGCTTCTGTGAAAAAGTAGTGTGTGTGTGCGTGTGCGTGTGCGTGTGTGTGTGTGTGTGTGTGTGTGTGTGCGTGTGCGTGTGTGTGTGCATGTGCGCATGCACATGCCCATGAAAACCAGAAGGGTGCTGGATCCTCAGGAACTGGAGTTACAAATGGTTGTAAGATACTGGACGTGTGTGCTGGGCACCAAACCTGGGTCCTCTAGAAGTGCACTCTTAATTGCTGAGCCATCTCTGCAGGCCAAGATTTTCTTTTGTGATGAAAAGGGAAAGGTCAAGAAAGGGGTGTGTCTCAGCAGTAGACACTCCCTAGCAAGCAGGAGGCCTGGGTTTGATCCTCCACCCACAGGAACGGCAGACCATCTGAGTGCTTGGTCTAATGGGTCCACTCCCGGTCTCAGGGCAGGCACTGAGCAAAGTGCCGGGAGCATCCTGCCTCTCGCCTGTAATGAGAATTACATGTATGTCTCTCTGTCACTGTTCATAGGTTCTGCAGAGAGGAACGACATGGGTTAACAGAATCTGAGGAAAACGTATGAATCACTGGGTAGAAAGGAAGACAAATTGCTCTGATGCCACCGGAATTCTGAGGCTTTGAAATGTCAGTATGAGTCATAGCTGGTCATGTTTTATAAGTTAAAAAGCAATTCTATTGTGTGTTACTCACAGGGTGCCTGATTACTTCACGGGGGTGGACAGGAACAATCTCCCGCCGTTTGACAGACTGGCTGCTGAATGAGGGAAGAAAGCCATTAAACCAAACACAACAAGCGGTGGGTACCGCCTCCCCTCCCAGCACCACCAGGGTTCTCCAGGTTGATTTGCACTGAGGGGGGGGGGGGCAAGAAAACCATCTGTTATGCTTTGGTTATTGCTCAATTGTGTTCCCCAACGGCTCAAGCACTGGGGCCTTGGTCCCTATGGTGGTTGGACATTTAAGAGGTGGTGTCAAGTAGATGGCAGGTAGTCCACTGAAGGCGCTGCCCTAGAAAAGATTAATGCTGTTGTTGAACAACGAGGAGCAGCCTGACCTCTGCATTGCCCTGGCTTCCAGCATTACCACGTGATTGCTCTTTCACGTGGCCACACCACCATGATTTCATCTGTCACGGGTCCTCCACAAAAGCTGAGCTGATAGCAACACTTTGCCCTTGAGCCTACAAAACCATGAGCTAAGTAGGACTCTGTACTGTATAAAGCTACCAGGCTTGGACATCACTTGAAAGCAAAAGTAAACGGCCCAATGCACTTCCCGTTCAGAACACAAAGGCACTGCCACTACCACAAAAGCCAGCCACGTCCAGGAGCACACACACCCCGGGCATAACCTGAGCACCAAGAGCTGGAACGAGGAATGGAGGGGGTCTGTTCCAGAAAGCCATAAAGAGAACATGTACAAACCAGGCGGCTTTTGACCTTGGTAGAAAAATTGTGACATCAGTTCGGAAATGAAAACCCCACTGTTCCTTTCTATCAGCCGAGCTGTTGTGCTTCCTGCTCCTGGGGCTCTGCTGCGGCAAAGGCGTGGCAGTGACTAGGAAGTGATGGTCCGTGCCCTTCACCACTCAGGTTACCTCTACCAGTTCAGCTTCAGGGCCGACCGAGTCCAGACTGAGTCTCAATCTAAGGCTCAATAAAGGGCTGGAATCCTCCCTCTTCTCCCTGCCTGTCCTCTGCCACCACACACAGCTGATCTTTCTTTCCTTAAGCGATTATTTAACTTTATGTGTATGAACTTCTGGCCTGCATGTGTGTGCACCGTGAGCATATGCCCAGTGTCTGTGGAGGGCAGAACCCCGGGAACGGGAGTTGGGATGGTTGTATGAGACTTCATGGGGATCCTGGGACTCAAATCCGGGTCCTCTGCAAGAGGAGCAAGTGCTGTAAACCAATGAGCCACCTCTCCAGCCCAGTCTTGCTTCCTTTATCACAGGCAGAGAGGAGGCCAAGTGTGGCGGTCCCTTCCCTTAATCCCAGCACTCAGGAGGCAGAGCCAAGAGGGTCTTTCTGAGTTCGAGTCTAACCCTGTCTACGCTGTAGCTCCAAGACAGGAATGAAGGAAGGGAGGGAGGGAGGGAGGGAGGGAGGGAGGGAGGGAAGGAGGGAGGGAGGAAGGGAGGGGGGGGAGGGGGGGGGGGGGGGGGGGGGGGGGGGGGGGGGGGGGGGGGGGGGGGGGGGGGGGGGAGGGGGGGGGGGAGGAAGGGAGGGGAGGAAGGGAGAGAGTAAGGGAGGGAAAAGCTGGGGGGTGGCAAAGCCAAACAGTTGCACATTCTCTAACTCTTCCTATTTGAGACTCACACGAGCTTCCTTGCCTGCATTCGGAAGCTGGGTTTCCCGACTGTCAGAGGGCACGAGGGATCCAGTGCTGAGGGCATGAAAGCAGGAAAGCCAACCCCCCCCCCCCCCCCAGCCAGTAGCAATCAGGAGAGAAGGCCTTGCACTTTGCCTGGGCTAAAGAATAGAGCTGGCCCTGGTGGTGCGAGTGTGGGTGACCCGGATCTGAGGCCCTGAGAGCCAGAGAAGAGGCCTGCTCCTTGCTGTAGGCTGCATTGTGTGAGCTGGCTGAGGCAGCGCGGGGAGAGCTTGCCCAGACAGCAAAGATGAGGAACTGCTGCTGCTGACCAACCCAGCTACCGCCCAGGCCCAGAGCCACTGCTGTGAGTCGGCCCACCCCAGCGTGCACTGGATCTACGAACTGTTGAAGCAAGTGAAGAGGTTGAACCTACAGATCCAAAACAGCAGGATCTCGGCGCCAAGGGCAGAGGGTGGGTGTGAGGGGGCGGGAGTGGGGGGGATGGGAGGGATGAGGGGCAGGTAAGTGGGATTGGAATGCACCCTGCGAAATCCGCAAAGAGTCAATAAAAATTAATAACAAAGAAGCTATTGTCCCACCCATTTGAGATGCTATAACAAAATACTGTAGAAAAGAATTTATAAATGATGGAACTGTCATAAGCACCAATCTGGAGGCCGAGAAGCCGGCAGAGTCAGTGTCTCGCGAGAGCCATCTTTCTGTCTCACAGACGGTACCTTCCAGCTAAGGACTCACATAGCAGGAGGCGGCACAAGCTCCCAGACCTTTTACAAAGACAGTAATCTCATTCTCCTGGGCTTCGCTTAATTGCTTCCTAAAGTCCCCACTTCTTGATACTGTTGTGCTGGGGATTAGATCTCAGCATATGGGGTTTGGAGGGATGCAGACATTCAGATTACAGAATTTACCATCCTTTTTTCATGGATTAGGCAACCGTAACACAGCACAAGTAAATACTGTCTCTCATTCATACCGCAGCTAACTGACTAAGACAGAGCCGGAAGCCAGCTGGCCTCCTTTCTGGATTCATGTTCTAACCACCCAGCAGCGCCACTTGAGACTGCGTGTATTGAAACCCATATTCCACGCTGACTATAATACTTTTACTGCTAATGCATTTCCTGTGGCACCCGGAGCCTCACACACCTTAAACAAGTACTCCTCTGCTAAGCTGTCTCTCTGGGCCTTTTACTTTTGCTCAGTCTCAGTGTGTAGCCCTGGCTGGCCTGGAGTTCTGTATGTCATCCAGTTACAGTCTCCAGAGTGCTGGGGTTGAAGGCATGCACCATTACGCCAGGCTCTTTTCATCTTTTATTTGAGGACAAAGGTTTACTAAATTGCCCAGGCTGACCAGCGGCTCACTCAGTAGCCCAGGCAAGTCTTAAATGTTAATTTCCCTGCCTTGGGCTTTCAAGTAACTAGGCTTATCAGCCTGCACTGCCCAGCTCAGCGGCTGTTAAGTTTTTGAAAAGACGTGTATTATTAATACACATTTGTTTACAGAGGGCTCCCTGAGCCTAGTGTTGACTGATCTCCCATCAATCATTATGGATCGTAATGAAGAGGCCTGTCTTGGACAAAGAGAAAAGAAATTCAGCCTTTAAGTAACTTTCCATATAGACACTTTAGAAACACAGAATCCACCAAAGGCGTTGATGGGCTACTGTTATGTTTTGTAGACACATATCTAAGCATGGAATATTTTAGAATTTTCCTTTCCATACTTTAGAGCCCATAAAGGTGTCCACCCCTCAAGCACTTATGTAAACACTGGAGAAAGGTTAGCTCTGTAAACACTGGAGAAAGGTTAGCTCTAAGCCCTGATTACCCAACAGACAAGTCACCTCTGCCTAAGCACAACAAGGAAATAAACTCAGAAACCACAAGCCTCCCGAGAGCCACCCAGAAGTCAGGGGAGGTGGCACACACCTGGAGGTTCCAGCTACTCATGAAGTTGAGGATCATTTGAGCCCAAGAGTTTGGGGTCAGCTTGGGCAACACAGTGAGACCTTCCCTCCAAAAAGAAGAAGGGAGAAGAGGAGGAAGAGAGAAAGGAAGGAAGGAAGGAAGGAAGGAAGGAAGGAAGGAAGGAAGGAAGGAAGGAAAGAAAAAAGAAAGGCTAGCTAGCAGGCTTTATATATGGTGGTGTTCAGTACAGACTCTTAGCCACGCTTGACTCTGCTGCTCTGAGACCTCTCTGGCCCCACTCCATCTGCTCCAAAGCCTTTGGCATCAGCTTCTTATCTCCCAAATCCCTAGATCCAGTAAGGTGTGAGCGCATTTCCTATAAACCAGAAGGTCTCCAGTTGCCAAATGCCTTGCCTCACCTCACTTCACCTCCAGGTAAGATCCTGACACCACCCTCAGGAATATGTTTTGACTGAGGGGCAGCCTCCATGCAAATGAGTCCTGGTTAGGGCTCAAGCAAAGAGCAGCGCCCACCGCAGCGCAGCGAGAGTGTGAGATTCAGTTACATAAAGCTCGGTGAAGCCATTTGTCCGAATGTGCTAGAGAGAAGGAATCTCTAGGGAGAGCGGCTGCCAGGGTATTTGAAAGGTTGAAAAACAGAGCGGGCAGAAGGAAGCTTTCAGAGGAAAGAGCACCAGGTCGGACAAGGGCAGAGGAGATCTGTGACAGATGAGAGGAACTCAGTCCGGGTGCAGGAGCGCTGGGAGGGAAAAGAGCACCCAGCGGATAAACAAAAAGAGGGTGTAACCGCCTCCAGGTCATGAAACCTGCGGACTGGGGACTTTCCCAGGTTAGTCAAGACTCCAATTTCACCCAGGCAGGCATCTGCCTTGATGAAGAAAGCAGGGTCCCCTGCTTCCTCAGTCCTGGAGAGCTATGCACACTTGTTTGGTTGGAGTGTTGGAGTAGGCATGTTTTTGCCTGGAGTATTGTTATTTCAAGCCGGGCTGACTGACCTGGGGCCTGCTCTGGTTTGTCAGTGCCCACAGGGTGTCTCGTTTACATTCCCACAGCTGCAGGGAAACCTGTTACCGGACTCCCTGTCTCCTCCCACTCCTGGTTTCTAGTCCTGGTTGACATGACTCAGCTAAGTAGAGACCCTGCATCCCAGTGGGGTTATCTAAGGTTTATCTAAACACATCCTCTAAAAGGCCAAGTAAGTTAGGTGCTGAGGTGCCGGTTTGGGACTGGAAAGTTAGATAACTAGGCACAGAAAACCCAGTGGTAACCGAAAAGATGAGCCCAGCAGAGAGGAAAACGACAGACCCACTCCTTGGTTCCTTCTAGTTTGACGTCCTTCTCATTTCAAACAGGAGAAGCAGCTCAGCCTGAGGCAGAGAGAGAACTGGGGGGGCGAAGTAGGGGGTGAGAACTGGTAAAGAGAAAGTAAGGATGAAATGAACTGGAGGACGGCCATACTAGGAAGTGGTGACCCTACTGTGCACCTGGGCTTGTGATGGGGCCCTTACGTTTCCTCCCACTAGAGGGCCACCCTAGGTCAACCTGCTTTTAGAGATGCCAAGGAACTGTGGGAGTCAGGAACAATACTCTTCATAAGTCACCAGGTCTCGGATGTCATTGCAGGATACACATATGCTGTTGCCAGGGTTCAGAGTCCTCCGTTCCTCGGATTGAGACAATCCGTTTACTTGGACTAAAACAGTTAAAAGACATCGTAAGCTCCCTTGAATCCGAGCCCCTTTCTTGTAGAAACCCTCCACCTATTGTTCGGCTTTTTGTGTGTTATTTTTTTAAAATATTTATTTATTTATTTATTTATTTATTTATTATGTATACAATATTCTGTCTGTGTGCATACCTGCAGGCCAGAAGAGGGCACCAGATCTCATTACAGATGGTTGTGAGCCACCATGTGGTTGCTGGGAATTGAACTCAGGACCTTTGGAAGAGCAGGCAATGCTCTTAACCTCTGAGCCATCTCTCCAGCCCCTTGTGTGTTATTTTTAAGACAAGATCTTACCATGTAGCCCAGGCTGGCCTTGGGACCTCTCCCCCTCTTCTCAGCCTCCTGAGTCCTGGAATCACTCGCATACACCTCATGACATTTTTGTTTCTTAGTTTGCTTGTTTGTTACATTTGTTTGTCTTTAATCCATTTAATTTTCATTGAAAATATCTTGCTGTGTTTCCTACTCTGGCCCTAAGCTCCTGACTTAACCTGTTCTCCTGTCTCAGCCTCCAGAGCAGCTGGACCAACTGGTGCGCACTTCCGTGTGGGGCTCTACTTTAGTTTAATAGGAGGCAGAACCATCTATCTGCAGACACGGAACACATGTGTTCGCCTTCCTGGTGCTCTGTCGACCGAGGAGCACACAGGACTAAGGCCGAAAGGGTCAGGGCCATGGCTTTGAACTTGAATTTGGGAGCTCCTCTGCCAAGAAGCAGAGAACATTTATTTCCAAAGAGTAGCAAAGGTCATGAGACCCAGTGTTTGCAGCCGGCTGTCAGCAGCGACACCTAATGTCCTAGTGGTGGCTTGAGCAACTTTTAGTCTTCTGCCAGTCCCATCCTGCCAGACCTGTCTGTAGTCTTCTTGGTGGTTTTGTGAGTAACCATCATGTCGTTCATGAACTATGTTAGAGTTTGTATCTCTGGGTTTTTAAAAGGATTTATCTATATGTGTATGTGTGAGCGCCTGTCTTAGTTTATGTGCGCCACATGCATGCAGGTGCCTGGGGAGACCAGAAGAGGGTGCCAGATCCCCTGGAATTGGAGTTCCAGGTGGTTGTGCTCTGCTTGATGTGGGTGCTGGGAACCCACCCTCTTGCGAGAGCACTGAACCAGCTCTCCAACCCGGTCCATGGATTTTTAACAATCTGACACGGACCTTAAACTCTAACATAGACATTGGTCAAAGTCCTAGAACCAAAATATTTCAAATAAGTCAAGTCAGAGCAGAGATTGCCTTCATGAGGAATTCAGGACACAGTTCCTTCGTACAAACTGTTAGCATGTTAATAGGCGTGGGAAGTGGGGGGAGATGACAGATGGGGACTGGGTGGGAAGAGGCAATAGTAACAGATTTGATAAAGGAGCTGAGAGGGTGGTCATGCAGGGAAGGACTACTATCCCAGCATAGGCTTTAGTCAACCCAGTCAACAACACCCCCCAACACACGCGCGCACACACACACACACACACCACAGGCTCAGGGGACTCAATGTGGTTTTCTATCCAGCTAATTCATGTAGTCACCAGACAGATTTGTGCTTGTGCACAGTGGGCCCCACAGCCGTGCTGCACGGTCCCCTATCTCAGTGGTGTTCCTGTGGTCCTGAACCTGAAACCTGGGCCAATGTGGCCTTACCTCCTTCCCAGGCCATGTTCTTCTGTAGGCTGTGTGTCTGAAGGCTGAATTCCATGCTGACTTCCTGTGACCTGGTCACTGGATGAGTTGGGGTGACGGCAGGTGGGGAGGGGGCGGGGACGACTGGGGAACGAGAGGGGAGAGGCACATCCATTAAGTTCTAGAAAGCCAAGATTAGCCAAGCAATCATAGAAAGACTTGTCTTTTTTGTGTTTCTTGTGGATGGTATGCATGCCTGCTCTTCGACTCCTAGCCACCTCTACAGATCGTGCCCCTGGTACGTGGGCACAGGAAGAGCTGGGCTGCACGGAGCTTCACAGAGGCTGCAGGCAGAAGGCCTTAAGATTTCACAGGGTTCCTATGAAAGCCATTTTAGAGTTCACAAATGCAGTCATGCTCCTAGATCCTGTGACCCCAACATAAATAACGCCTGTACAGTCCTTGATCTCCCTATGGCTTGTCTGGCTCCTCAGCTAGCTTTGTGCTTTCTCCACAGCCTGTGGCTCTTCAGGCCCCGAGCCCACTCACTCAGTCAGTCATTCCTTTTCAGAGTCTTGTCCCATTCAGCAGCTCATCCTCACCTTTACCATCTTCACATGTGAGCGACCCAGAGGTTGAGAATCCCACCCTTCACCTTTACCATCTCCACATGTGGGCGACCCAGAGGTTGAGAATCCTATCCTTTACCTTTACTGTCTTCACATGTGAGTGACCCAGAGGTTGAGAATCTGAGGTCCAACCTCCGGGGCCTGGTGTTGTAGAAACAAGAAAACATAGGGGAAGGAAGACAAAGACAAAAGCTGAGTTTCCTGGCAGGCTAGAAGGGTTCTGAGGGAGGTTAACAGAGGCAGACTAAGCCAGTGCCTGCTGGTGATACTACTAATCCCAACACACAGGAGGCTGAGGCAGGAGGATCAAGAGTTTGAGACCAGACTGGCTTACAAAGTGAGTTTCAGAGCAGCCATAGTTACATAACAAGATCCTGTCTTAAGCAAACAAACAAATATATCAGGCCAACAGTTCTCGACCTGTGGGTTGCAACCTATGGGGGCAGTTGTCAAATGACCTTTTCACGGGGGCCGCCTAAAACCATCCGAAAACACAGGTATTTACATTACGATTCGTAACAGTAGCAAAATTACAGTTATGAAGTAATTTCATGGTTGGGAGTCACCACAACCTGAGGAACTGTATTAAAGGATCACAGCATTGTAAGTATTAGTTTACTATAAATATTCATCAAAGGAAAGTGTAAAATTCCCTCTGAAGTTTCAGCATTAAACATGACGTTTTGAGAAGCTTCTCATGTGTAAAGACCTATCCTCCACATTCTCACTCCTCTGACTGTGGCATGACTCCTCTCTCACATGTCCAGCTCCCCATTTTAGTGACTCCTCTTTCCCTGGAAACTGGGGGGACATATCTCCTGGAAATCACTGACACTCCTTTCCTTGGCCTCAGGTCTTTCAGACAGGCCTCCCTGCCCCAAGACTGTCCTACCACCATTGCCCTACAGAGTAACTTCTCATAGCTCTGCAAACCAAAACAATATGCCAAGTTATTTTACCGGTCTCAGTTTTCTCTAAGCTGTGCCATTTGCCTGGATTGCCTCCTGTTGCCACATTCACCTGGCAAACTCCTACTCATCCTTCAAGGCCTTGCTCAAAGGACCCTCTTCTGTGAAGCCTCCAAGCAGGCCCAAGCTAAACGAGCCATTTTCTCCGTGTGCCACTCCAGAGTAGTTTTCTTTGTCTTTCTTGTGCTGAGACTTTTTTCTATGACTATTCCTCTGACTTGATTGTGGGAGCTGGGAGAGGGAAGATTAATTATTATTCATGCATGTATCCTTACTCCTAAGCCCAGTGATGGATATGATAGATGTCTATAAACACACACACGTACACACACACCACACATACCACACATACACACACCACACTCACCATACCACACACACACCACACATACACACACCACACCCACCACACCACACACGCACCACACATATGCACACACCACACACACATACACATCCACACACCACACACCACACATACATACACACACCACACCACACACACACATACACACACACCACACACACCACAGCACACACACCACACACACCACAGCACACACACCACAGCACACACACCACAGCACACACACACCACACACACACCACACCACACACAGACACCACACACACACCACACACACACACACAAACACATACACCACACACACATACACATACACACACACCACACACCACACATACATACACACACCACACCACACACACATACACACACACCACACATACACACACCACACCCACCACACCACACACGCACCACACATATGCACACACCACACACACATACACATACACACACACCACACACCACACATACATACACACACCACACCACACACACATACACACACACCACACATACACACACCACACACCACACATACATACACACACCACACCACACACACACACCACACACACCACAGCACACACACCACAGCACACACACCACAGCACACACACACCACACACACACACCACCACACACAGACACCACACACACACCACACACACACACACACAAACACATACACCACACACACATACACACCACACACACACCACGGCTATTCAGCCAGGGCCTTCTGGATATAGTGGTGTATGACTTCTCCTGGGGAAGTGTGAATAAACTCCTGCTCACCCCCAGAACAGTGCAGTGATGACAGAGCAAAGAAAACAGTCTAGCTTGGGGAAGTGATGAGTTGAATTGGGGTTATTTACAGGAGCACAGGCAAGCTACGGGTGACACCATGGAAAAACATCTCCCTCCCTAGCAATTATTAGCCACTTATGTGTCCCCAAGGAAGGATGGGCGCCGGAGACATCTCATGAGTCCCTCACACACCAATCATGCTACCTCGTGACCCCTGTGAGGTCTGAGCACTTCCGCATGGGGGGCATTAGTGGGCCCAACCATGTGAGTACCTCATGCAGTCACACCATTCCAAGACAGAAGCAGCCCTGTCGTGCCCCGAGCAAGGTACCTTAATTCAAAGTCTTTAACCATTATTTTAAGTTATAGGCACTGGTTGTAGGATTCTTGTCAATCATCTTGTTGGATGTCACTTACATCTTAGGCAACCATAAACCCCCTAAATACCACCATGATGACTGACCCTTTCACCCTGTGTGAACTGCTTCCCACCCTTGCTCCTTTAGGTGCTTACTCCACTCTCAATGCTTTTCTAAACCTGTAAAACACATTGAACATCAGATAATAAAACCTTTTTGCAAAAGGTGGGCAGGATCTCCAATTTCCCACCGCCAACCATTTCAAGCAAGTGCCAACTGATCTTGAGATTTGGCAGCGAAGGTGATGCTAGAAAATAGGAAGGTTCACGACCGCTTGAAAAAAATCTCATCACTTTGCACCAGCTGTTCCCTCCAAAGAGCAGGGCGGGTTATGGCATCTTGGATGAGAGGCGTGGTCTGATTTGGGTTTCTATACCCACGGCCATTCTCCACAGCCATTCCATTTCCCCACCTTGGATCCACACATGTCCTCACTCCAGAAGGGCTTACTAAGTCTGGCTCCCACTGTTTCATCCGCTAGGAGGCCTTCGGGAGTGGGACCGCACTATCGGTTGCCACACAGGCTCTGGCTTCCTGCTCTGATAGGCTCTAGAGTGGTTGCTTCCTTTCTATTGGTCACATTTGCCTGGGCTTGGTGAGTAACCTCCGCCCTCGGAGTGGGGAAAAATGTATCCAGCATCCTCTGGGGAGAGAATTGCCCACCCCTGGGAACAACATACTCCGGTTCACATTTACTGTGCCGTCATTCACTCCTGTTACCCCCAAGGAGGCTCGCAAGCGCTGACTCTGGCTTTCGGACAGCTTTTCCCTCTAGGGACTCCAACTCCACAAAAATCTTGCCACATTCGCTTTTGAGTGACCTGGAAAATCCCTGGGTCTGCTTTTCTTTTTTCTTGTCCTGTATTGCTTGCTTTAGCACTTCATGGGCATGCTTTGTGCACCAGCAACAGTCACTCAGATCTGCCAGGGCTCCTCCTATCTTCTAAAGAAAATAGCTCACCACGGGGCTCGGCCAAACCACTAGGCACCACAGGCCTGAGGTCCCCGCTCACCAGCTTCTTTCCTGGCTCCCCTGTGCACACATCCCTATCAGGTCAAGGGAGCTTAACCACAAACACTGCCTCTCCTACACCCAAGGGCCTCAGTAATGCTCCTCCTCCTTCCATGATCTTCCAGCCCCGATACTCACAGGACCCGAGTCAGGAATAACCAAGTGCCCCTAACAGGCCCGGTTTCTCTCATATCATCTCCAATATACGCAACCTCTGAGTCAAGGACGCAGGAGTCGCGAGCTGTCTTGCTCAGTTTCTTTGCTTCCACAGCATTCGGACTGACCCGTCCACCCCCACGTTCCATATTCTCTCCAGCTAAGGTTGCAGGCACTGTATGATGCTTTGGTGAAGTCTTTTCTAGTTAAAGCAGCAGTCCAGAGGAGTCTGCGATTGTCAGGGTTTTCTGCACTGGACCATGTGTAAGGCCACTAGCTGCTTGCTCAATTATGGGCTTTTTCTTCATCTGGATTAAAGGCTGGCCCCGAAGGGCATTTCCTGTTCTCCCCCCCCACCCGCCACTGTCAGATTGTTCCTATGGGTCCCAAGTTTTGGGATCTCAGGAGGGACTATTTAACAGATCTAATTTGTCTTCTCTTTCCCTTAGATTCTTCACAGGCCCCACCCCCAGCTGCAGCAAGTCAATGCCTTCCCTTCTTCCCTCTTGTTTTCCGCATTGTCCTGCCAATTAAGAGGCTATTGAAAACGACAGAATCCAAACATGGTTTTCAGGTTGCAGTTTCTCCCTTAGGTGAGCAAGTTCTTCGTGGGCAGACAGTTGAGCCACAGTTGCACGTACGGCTTCCCTCCACTGCCCACACTCACGCGTGCATGCGCACATATGTAGTCAGAGGAGAGCTTGTGGCAATCAGTTTTCTCCTTCAACCATGTGGGTGTAGGGGACAAGCTCAGGTCACTATGCATGGTGACAAGTGTCTGCCCAATGAGCTGTCTCTCAGGATCCTCATGCCTTATTGTCACAGCAAAGGTCACAGGGAAGGGCGCTTATGTCGGGGTCACCTCTGAAACCGCTCCACCTGCAGTCAGTATCTTCAGTTGCACGCCACCCAGGGCGGAAGACAAGGCTCCTCTTTGGTTTTTTCATATGGTTATTTGGCTGCCAACTGAGATGATTTTCCAGGGGAGATGTTAAAAAAAATTCTGTTCACCCCCAAAGGACACTCTGGACAGACAAAAGGAAGGTTTCATCCAGGCATGGTGGTAAACACCTTTAGCCCCAATACTTTAAACCCGGTTTCATCATCAGATGAAGCTCTGTGAATCCGAGGCCGGCACAGCCTACTACATGCGCAGATTCCAGGCCAGTCAGAGTTACATGGCGAGATTCTGTTGTCATCCTCACCCCCTCCCCCCAAAAAGGTGCCATTGAAATCTAGCTTGGTGAGTCAACGAATTTAATTGGGATTATTTACAGAAGCATGGTTGAGGAAGAATTTAAGAAAGCTCAGGTTTCATCTTCATCACTGCAAAAACAAACCCAAGCCTGCAACACATGCCCTGAAGGGGTGAAAAGGGTGGCAGCATTAGCAGCGAAGAATCTTTTTCTGCGGCAGTGACTCGGCCCTTGTACGTTCTCGAGAGGTGCTGCGGCCTGGTGAGTATCTCACACGCTGCCATGGTGCCTCCCGGTGATCTACCCACGTCTCCACTTGAGCTTTGCGAGCCCCCGTGCTTCCATAAGGAAATGCTAGTGTGCCTCTCACACGGGTACTCTGATGTCAAAGATGGTAATGGCCATGCCATCCTTTAAGGGCATCGTTCTACAACAAGACAGCTGCCCAGGAACTATTTTTGTAGCTCAGGCTGGCCTTGAACTTGTGACCCCTCTGTCCCTACCACCTGAGTGCTAGGATTATAGGTGTATATTACTACTCTATAGATACCTTTTATAAAAATGAATACAACTTATTTTGACTTCTCTTTTGGCTTTAGAGTCAAGATAAGGAAGTCGTCAGGTTCTCACAGACTTGGAAAATGTGAGGAAAACAAAATCGTCACAATGAAAAAGCAAAATTCTCTGTATCAAGTAGGGGTCTCTGGAGGAACAGAATAAACACACATTCATACGTGTGTGTGTGTGTGTGTAAGAGAGAGAGAGAGAGAGAGACAGAGAGAGACAGAGAGAGAGAGAGAGAGAGAGAGAGAGAGAGAGAGAGAGAGAGGATGCTGTGGACTGGAGGTGACGTGCACCAAGTCTCAGGTTTCATCCTCAGCACTACAAAAGCAAACCAAAACCAACGGCACATCTTGATGGGGGTGACAGAAATGAGAGCCACCATCAAGGACTTGAAAGATGCAGGGGTGGCGATCCCTACACCGCCCTTTAACTCTCCCATGTGATCTCTGCAGAAGACAGATCACGAAGAATGGCAGTTGAATATCACAAACCGAATGAAGCAAAGATTCCCACTGCAATTGCTGTTAGATGTGAGTGTCCTTATTTGCACAAATTAACACATCTCCTGGCACCAAGGATGCAGGTAGTGACCGAGAAGATGCTTTTTCCTTAGCTCGTGTACATAAGGACCGCTAGACTGCCTTCATCTAACAAGGCCGGTAGTACACCCTTTACAGATATACCTCAAAGGTATATCGATTCTCTAGCCTCATTCAAAGCGATCTTGATCACATTTTCCTTCCACAAAATGGTCCAGTATATTAACAACATTATGCTGTTTGAGCCAAGTAAGCAGAGGGCAGCAACCACTTAGAACTCATTGGTAGCATATGCAAATCAGAGGATGGGAACTAAATCCAACCAAAACTCAAGGGTCTTCTACCTTAGTGAATTTTTTTAGGGGTCCAGCATGGAGCATGCAGAGATATTCCTTCTAAGGTGAAGGGTAAGTAATTGTACCTGACCCTTCCCACCACCTAGACAGAAGCACAAGGTTTAGCAGGCCCATTTGGATTCTAGACACAGCACATTCCTCCTTTGGGTGTGTTACTCCGGTCCATGAACCAACTGACTTGGAAAGCTGCCAGCTTTGTGTGGGGCCTGGACCAGGAGGAGGCTCTTCAACAGGTCCGGGCTGTTGTGCTGGCTCTCTATCACTTGGCCCATATAATCCGGCAGCCCTGATGGTACTTGAGGTGGCAGTGGCAGATAGGAACACGGTTTGGAGCCTTTGGCAGGCCCCTATAGGTGAATCACAGTGGAGGTACTTGGCCCTCCACCATCTGCCGACAACTGTTGGCCTGCTACTGAGCCTTAGTGGAAATTAAAATTTTTAAAATAGATATTTTACTTTTTATTTTATACCCATTGCTGTTTTGCCTGCATGTGTGTCTGTGTGAAGGTGTCAGAACTCCTGGAGCCCTCCCCCCCCAAAAAAAAAGAACTCCTGGAGTTTGGTGAGCCACCATGTGGGTGCTGAGAATTGAACCCAGGTCCTCTGGAAGAGTAACTAGTGCTCTTAACTCCTAAGAGAGCTCTCTAGCCCCAGAAACTGAACTTTTGATGATGGGCTACCAGATAACCATGTGGCCCGAGCTGTCAGTCACGAGCTGGATGTTATCTGGCCCACCAAGCCACAAAGCTGGCTGTACACAGCTGCCCTCCATTATCAAACGGAAGTGGTATATGTAATTGGGACTGAGCGAGCACTGAAGGCACAAGCAAGTTCCATGAAGAAGTTGCCCCAAATGCCTCTGCTTTCTGCTTCTTTTACAATGCTTTCTGTCCCCAAGCACACCCTACAGCTTCATGGGGTGTGCCTTATGGCTTGTTGACTAAGGAAGAGAAGACTAGGCTCCGGTTTACAGACAGTATACATGCTGTGCAGGCACTGCCAAAGAGTAGACAGCTGCAGCCTTCCTGTCTCTGTCTGGGGCTGGGAGGGGCTTAAAGGGCACAGGTAAAGGGAAATCCTTCAGTGGACAGAACGGACAATGGCCATATGTTTTGCTTGGAAGGAGAAACGGCCAGATGTGGGATTTTTCTACTGATCCACGTGGGAGGTAGCAGAAGTTCAAAGTCATCCTTTCCTACACAGTGAACTTGAGGTCAGTCTGGGCTTCATGAGCCCCTGCCCCCTCTGGAAAGGTGTCACAATTTTCATTTAATTTTCCTATAAATATTCATGCTTTATAACCCATGTGATTCTACCAAAGCTCACCGGATTGATGTGGTTCATTGACCTTGAATTTACTAGAGCAGTTTGAGTCCGTAGTAACCACCCGGCAAAGGAAAGCGATGTTGCAGAGTCCAGTCAAGTTGCCCTGAGTTACTGTGTCGACGGTGGGACTAGCGCAGATCACATTCAGACACTGTTCTAAGTCTCTTGCTCATGCACACACCATGACAAATTTAATCCTCATAACAACCCTATCAGGTAACTATTATTATAGTCATTTCAAAGAAAACAAGGAAACAGACTCTTGTTTGCAATCAGATAGCTAAGCGAGAGAGAGCTGAGAGTCAGGCTCAGTAAGCCTTGCTGGGGGTCTGCTTTTCCAATGCTGTATTACCTCCACGAACAACACACAGCTCCAGCTAAGAACATCAGGCAGAAGAAGAATGCACCCTTTCACAACTAATAATCCCAGGCTTTTGGGTTTCTTGTCCTGCCATGGTACACAGCATTACTTGGTACAACCCAGACCCAGAGGCCCCCAGTCTCCTCCCTGGCTATATTTCTATTTCACCATGGAGAGAGCGATTCCTTTCGCTTGGCCTGATTCAACTTACAGCAGAGTCCTGGGCAGCCTTCTCGGAAAACCAGTTCCCTGCCTCCCTGGTGACCCTGGCTGGTGAAACCAGTGAGGCTGCTTTCCTCCGGTCTACTGTACTAGGACACTTCAGCAGATAGAAACCACTTACGCTAAAACCCAGAGCTGAGAAAAGAGTAAAGGGGAGGAGGGAGGACGCTAATTCCCCAGGGTGGGAGGGTGGGCTGGAAAAGTAGTTCCGCTTACCCTTGGTCCTGGGGGCCTTACCTCAAGTGTGCTGCTGAGAGTCTGTCTGCCTTCTCTGGTCTTCCAGTTTCACAACTTTGGAGCTATTTTTCTTCCCTGTCTATGCAGATGCTTTCTCATCAATTAGGAAACACTGCCATCCTGTGGCTATGCGTTGATATATGCTCCAACCTGCAAATTGCTGAAATTTCAATGACATTGTTTAATGATTAAACCAAAAGAGCACACCTATTGAGTCCAATGGCTGAAGGAAAGCCAGAGTGACCTTGTAAAGAAGGATGCTCGCTGGAGTCTTCAAAGAACAAACAAACAAACGAAAAGACACCTGGATTCGTCTCTCTGAACTCTGACTTTGCTTATAAAAATCTAGCCTACGTCTCTAGCGATTCTGGTGGCAAAGATGTCATCTACTCCCAGCCACGTTGTTTAGAATCCTACGCACTGGCACTGTGGCTCTGCATAGACGCTGCCCTTTCCAGGGAAGTTCACATCAATCTGTCTCCAGGTTATTTCCCTCGGCTAGCGCAGGCTCTGTTTCCACTCCTAGGTCTGTTCGCCCTGTATCCTCCCACGGTAGGCTAAACCTAAATTAAAATATTTCGGCTTTCTTTTTTGAAGCTGAATGATTTGGGGGGGTATGTCAGCTAAGTCTTTAGGCATCAGTTACTCCATCCGTTTGTAAAGTGGGATAGCAACTTCGTCATAGGGCTACTGTAAGAATGAAATGACAAAGTGTGTGTGTGTGTGTGTGTGTGTGTGTGTGTGTGTGTGTGTGTGTGTGTGTGAAGACTGCCTGGAACATCACAGGTCTTGGTAGTGGGAAGTCACATTCCCCGTGAGGGCTTGCTAGTATTGTCCATTGGAGGCCCAGTGATTTGATGTTGGAGATTTACAGGATCCTCAGCAACAAATCCGAGAATGGAAGAACTCTTTCAGGCTTTTGAGACCACCGTTATTTTCACGCGTGGGCAGCTGGCCGAGCACGGATTGCAACGCGGCTCTTCTTGCGTGCGCAGTAGGCTGCAGGTGCGTGGGCGTGAGCCCCGCGGCGCCGGGATGGGCGGGGCGCGGCCACTCATTCCTCGCGGTTCCCTATCCAGGACTGGGGATTGCGTGTGGATAATTCAATCCCCGTGGGACTCGGCGTCAGGCCTCGGCCCAGGCTCGGTGGATTGGCTGTCTTGCTTGCCCCCGCCCTCGGTACTCACACCCCCACCCCCACCCCGTGTCCCAGGTGGCTCGGGCCCCTGTGGTGATCTCTGTTTACGGAGAGAGCGGGTCCAAGTTGGGCTCCATCTCTGCACTGGCTGGCGGCTCGGCAGAACCCTGCCTGCCAGGAACGCGCAGAGAAAAACCGGCCGAACCCACCTTCGCCCTGTCCCTACTCCCAACGCCGGGAGAGGTCGGGTAAGAGAAAGAGGGTGCGGGAAGGAGGAGCCTTGGCCTGGGGGATTCTGCTGTTCCCCCATTCCAGGACCTCACGCGCACCCAAGACTTCTATCCCTAGGCCTGGTTCCCGCGCCCATGCTCGGGGCGACGTGCTCACCCTGGGCGAGCAGCCCGAGGCTGGATCTCAGGGACGTCAGCTCCCTAGCGGAGGCCCAGGCGTGGAGACTTCATTCACAGGTGTCTCCCCACCCCAGCAGACGGCGATGACCCCCAAGCCGGCCGGACCCCCGGACGGGGGCTGGGGCTGGGTGGTGGCGGCCGCAGCATTCGCCGTGAACGGGCTCTCCTACGGGCTCTTACGGTCCCTGGGCCTTGCCCTCCCCGACCTCGCGGAGCACTTTGAACGAAGCGCCCAGGACACTGCGTGGGTCAGCGCCCTGGCCTTGGCCGTGCAGCAGGCAGCCAGTGAGGGGGGGCCCCGAGGTGGGAGGCGGGAACCGGGTGGAGAGGCTGTGAAGGTAGTGATGGGAGACAGCAGACTTGATTACCAGACAACCTGAGAGCTACTGGTGGAACCAAGTTCTAGAAGAGTGGGTCTTGAGGTCAAAGGGAGGAGTTACCAGGCCAAGCAAAACAGCCAATGAGAAGTGTTGGAGATAGTTTGGGGGTCCCGGGGCATGTCTTCGTTGACTTCGCCCCCTTCTAGGCCCAGTGGGCAGCGCCCTGAGCACTCGCTGGGGGGCACGCCCCGTGGTGATGGTTGGGGGCGTCCTAACCTCGCTTGGCTTGGTCTTCTCGGCTTTCGCCCGAAGCCTCCTACATCTCTACCTCGGCCTGGGCCTCCTCGCTGGTAAGAAGAATGGGATGCTCGTAATGCTTCAGGGATGATAATGCGGACAGGAGCTTCTTGTGGGGTGTTCTCTCTCTCTCTCTCTCTCTCTCTCTCTCTCTCTCTCTCTCTCTCTCTCTCTCTGTGTGTGTGTGTGTGTGCGCGCGCGCGCGTGTGTGTTCGTGTGCATGGAGTAGAGAAGCAGGGCTAAGGAATGATAGGAAAATCATCCTCATACCCCTATCCTGTCCTATCCATTTGCAGGTTCCGGCTGGGCCCTGGTGTTCGCCCCTTCCCTGGGTACCCTCTCTCGGTACTTCTCCCGCCGTCGGGTCTTGGCGGTAGGGTTGGCGCTCACCGGTAATGGGGCATCCTCGCTGCTCCTAGCACCTGCCCTGCAGTTCCTCCTTGATACTTTCGGCTGGCGGGGTGCCTTGCTCCTCCTTGGCGCTGTCACCCTCCACCTCACACCCTGTGGCGCCTTGCTACGACCCTTGGCTCTTTCTGGTGACCCCCTAGCCCCACCTCGAACTCCCTTAGCTGCCCTTGGTCTAGGTCTCTTCAGGCGCCGAGCCTTTACAATCTTTGCTTTGGGCACCGCCTTGATTGGGGGCGGATACTTCGTCCCCTACGTGCACTTGGGTCCGCACGCTTTAGATCAGGGTATGGGGGGTTACGGGGCAGCGTTGGTGGTGGCTGTTGCCGCAGTGGGAGATGCGAGTGCCCGACTGGTCAGCGGATGGCTTGCAGACCAGGGATGGGTGCCCCTTCCGCGCCTTCTGGTTGTGTTTGGGTCTCTGACTGGGTTAGGGGTACTGGCAGTGGGACTAGTGCCCACTGGGGAGACGGAGGAGGGTTGGGGGGCTCCCCTGCTAGCCGCGGCTGGGGCCTATGGCCTGAGCGCCGGGAGTTATGCCCCACTGGTTTTCGGTGTGCTCCCGGGGCTGGTGGGCATTGGAGGTGTGGTACAGGCTACAGGGCTGGTGATGATGCTGATGAGCCTCGGGGGACTCCTGGGCCCTCCCCTGTCAGGTAAGGGCTGAGTCTGAAGATTCGCTCAAGATGTCTGCCCCTGGGATGCCAGGCCTCTAAATTCCTTTATCCCTTTTCTCAGGTTTCCTAAGGGATAAGACAGGAGACTTCAGTGCCTCTTTCCTGGTGTGCAGCTCTTTCATCCTCTCTGGCAGCTTCATCTACATGGGGCTGCCCAGAGCCCTCCCAACCTGCCGTCCAGTCTCACCTCCACCTACCCCTCCCCCTGAGAGAGGGGAGCTGCTCCCAGTTCCGCAGGCCTCCCTGCTCTCGGCAGGGAGCGCTGATCCCACCCGGGAAACCACTTGTTGATTGTTTTCTTGTTTGAGCCCCTTCCCTAATAAAGGCTTTTTATCTGACTCTGTTGAAAAGCAACAACAAAAACAAAAAACCATCTGAAAGCAACAGGACCCCAGCGGCCCTGGTGGTGAGGAGGATGCCTATCCAGACAGTTTTCCTTTGCTCAAATCCTTGCCTTAAGAAGGTCTTTGAGAAGTTGTGAGCTTATCAGTTTCAGTTTGCTAACGGGCATATCTAAATCTCATACTTCAAATGTTTATTTATGTGGGTTTGTGGTGGCCAGATCTCTTGGAGATCTTGGAGCTGGACTCCAGGCAGTTGTGAGCGGCCTGGTGTGAATGCCCTGAGCCAAACAGGTCACCACAAGGAACAGCAAGCTGCTGAGTTCTCTCTCCAGACCTACTTTTAAAAAGATTGATTTTTATTTACGCTATGTGTGTGTGTTTGTGTGAATGTATGCCACATATGTGTGGGTGTCCACAGAAGCCAGGAGAGGACATCGGATCCCCTGGATCTGGATTAATAGGTGGTTGTGAGCCACCATGTGTGGGTGGCTTTGGCCCTCTGGAAAAGCAGGAAGTGCTTTTAACTGCTGAGCTTATTTTTTTTTTTTCCAGCTCCCAAACTTCATGCTTTTTCTCGCATTTTGATCTGCCTTTGTTAGCCTAAGAGAAACAAAAACCCATCGGTACGGTTGCGAGCACTTGTAATCCCAGTACTTGGGTGGAGGCCAGGTCTCAGGTTCAAGAGCAGCCTGAGCTACATGGTGAGGCTCTATCTCAAAAGTACAAGAATCTTAGGTTGCAGCTTCTGCTCCCAAGCCGCCTTCCTCCACACACAGACTTTTCTCTTCATTTTCTTCCCTCTGTATCACAGGAGTGGTGGAGAAGAGGGGGGAATGGACGGGAGGGAAGAACTCTGGGTCAGCAGGCTCACGGACATCTCCGCTCCTTTGTTCAGCAGTGACCTGTTAGCTGCCCCAAGCACCTGGACCTCCAGTTCTTTTTGAGGTTACAATAACTGTTCAGTTTCCTTATTTGCTTTATATCCAAGCGAGACCAGAAATCACATATAAAACATGAGAAGACTCTTGGCCTTTGATTTTCAGATTTGATTCAGAACTCAGTGGGCTGAGATCTCCTGGATCCTTCAGAAAAGTTGGGGAGAACAAAGCAGGTGATGTGAAAGTCATCAACAGAATACAGAGGGAACCCCAGGTCTGCTCCGGTGGAGGCAGATCAAGAATCCTAAGGCACTGTGTTTCTGAGGACGCCTTGACGGGGCAGAGGACCTGGTGCTGTCAAGCTCCGGCTTTCCATGACCACTGCCTCCTGGTGGAGTTCAGTCCTCTCCCAAGCCCTCCTCCTTGGGCAGGGGAATTTTGGTCTCCGGTGCCTCTATTACAAGGTCCTGGGGTTTGGAGGTAGAAGCTGAGATGCAGGAGAAGAAATGGGGCAAGGTGATAAGAACTCCACTCCCTGCAAGAAGGAAGGCCCCAGCCACCATAAAAGAAGCCATGTAGTTGCCTGTCACATCCCGGAGGTAGCCTGGGTCCAAGAGAGAAAAAGAAATATACATGGGTGACCTGCACACTGGGGCTAATGGCCTAGATCCCACTTGGGGGCAAAGGAAGATCCATTGTCTTAGAAGAGATGCAATTCCCAAGGTAAGACTGAATGAATTCGAGACTCTGGTTTCTCAACAGCCTTCCTGTAGGGAGAGCAGCCTGTAGGTATTTGGGGAGACATGTTAGGTCAGGCGGATCTGTGTGGTTTCCTCCTGCAGCGGTGCCTCTTCTAAACCTTCAGTTAATAGTTAAGAGGGAGGTGTTTAAAGATCAGAAGGTTCTAGCATCTTGAGCATGGAGACCTTTAACCAGACATTTGGGCAGGGGTCCAGTGGGTCAAAGGGAAAAAAAAGACAATGTTAGGTCAGGCTAGGTCTTCTAAAAACCCAGCCTGCAGTTCATTGGGTTGCTTTTTGTCTTCCCACTCAGACCTTCTCAGACCCAAGTTCTGTCCTCCTGCGAACCCACCTCAGGGCTGTGAGGATTGGTTCTGCAGGCTGCATGCTGTAACATGCTGGAGGGCAATATTAACATATGCCACATGTTGATATGTGGGGATAGTTCCTTCCTCCGATTATGCAGCATGACATCCCTGGCCCAGCTGGCAGCCCCATTCCCCTTACCTGAGAGAGGCGCTCCCAATAGCCCCCCGATGCTCTCTATCATCTGTACCAGTCCCAGGCCACAGTAAATCCTTGCCGTCCCCACCAGCTCAGGAAGCACGGAGAAGGCCACTGGGGTCAGGGCCCCTGACGTGAAGCCGTAGGCCACAGCCAGAACCACCAGGGTTGTGGGAGCCTGAGCCACAGGGAACAGGGCTAGTGACACCCCAGTCAGGGTGGTCCAGAGCATCAGCAGCCGTGCCACAGGCCCTGGAACTGCATCTCCCAGCCAACCAGAGGCGACCCGGCCCACGAGGTCAGAAATCGCAGCCACCGAGAGTAGGAAGGCAGCAGGCAGTGGGTCCCAGCCCAGGTCCTGCAGATGCGCCACCAGATGGACGTAGGGAATGAAGTAGCCAGTGTTGATCAGAGTAAGGGCAACAGTGTAACGGAGGAAGGGGCCATGATGAAGAAGGGAGGTGAGCTGGGCCCCAGGGCCACCCACGGAAGTGTCTTCCGTCAGGGAGAGTGGGCGGAGGAGAGCACCGCAGGCCATCAGGTGTAAGGAGAGGGCAGACACCAGCAAGAGGGCTCCCCTCCAGGCATACTTGCTTATCAGCCACTGGAAGAGGGGGGCAAATGCAAAAGAAGAGAGACCCACTCCAGTCAATGCCAGCCCCATGGCCAGAGATCGACGTCGAGAGAAGTAACGGGAGAGGCAGGCCAGGGTTGGAGTGAAGGTCAGGGCCCAGCCAGAGCCTGCCAAAAAGAAAAAAAAAAGGGGGGGTGGCTGTGGACTTTGGGGGTGCTCAGAACACCCAGTAATCCCAATACTACCCAGCAGAAGACCAGCCCCTGCTTTGGACTCCACAGACTGGGTATTTTAGTGCTGGTTTTGATACTTTCTAGCTGTGTGACCTTGCCTGTTCTACTTAATCTCCCAGGCTCAGTTACTTGATCTGCAAAATGGGGTTAACACACTTTAGGGCAGTGGTTCTCAACCTTCCTAATGCTGTGACCCTTTAACCCAGTTCCTCATGTGGTGGTGACCCCCCCAACCATAAAATTATTTTCGTTGCTACTTCATAACTGTTATTTTACTACTGTTATGAATCGTAATGTAAATATCTGATATGCAGGATATCTAAATGCAGCCCTTGTGAAAGGGTCGTTCAACTCCCAAGGGGGCACGACCGACAGGTTGAGAACCACTGCTTCCTGGGATCTGGGAAGACGAGATAATACTCCTAAAATCACTAAAACAGAGCTTTGGAATTAGAGCCCCATCTCTACCATGTCTGGCTGCGTTAAACTTCCTTTGCCCAGGTGTATAAACATCGAAAAGCATTGTAAGCCTTATTATTGTTATTATTATTATTATTTTAAAATAGGCCAGTGATATCTCTATTTCAGTCAATACCTAGCACAATCTTAAAGAAATTCTCCCACTACACTCCATTCCTATGGGTTTGGGCTTGTAGTAGTTTCTGGATTCATTATCTTTGATTTAGTCATTCAGCTTAAGAATTCCCTTCAGGGCACAGGTTCTCCCTAAGCCTTTCTGGACAGAGGTGGAAGAAGGTGAAGATGCGGAGGCTTAAGATCTAGGCCTTGGCCTTCTGCCCTTGCCCAGGGTCTCACCTGACAGCAGCCCAATACTCAGGTAGAGGTGGGTCAAGGAGGTAGCAAATGAAGCAAGCAGCATTCCCAGCGCAGCCAAGATGCCCCCAGTCATCACCACAGGCCTGGGCCCCAACTTCGTGCTCAGGGCACTGCCTATTGGGCCTGGGGAATTGGAAGGGGTTCTGCGAGGTGGTCTCCGCTGTCCTCCCTCAGCATTCTCCCGACCCTTCGCCTTTCCCTGTTCTGGTCCCCAAATTCCCTCTTTTCCGAGGGTCGTAGGCCACCGCCCCCAGGCGCAGCACTCACTCCCAAACTGCTGCACCGCGATCCCTATGGAAGCGATCCAGGAGACTCTGGCTGCCTGTTCCTCAAACGCCGCCACAAATTCCACGAAGAAGACACCGAAGGAACGGAGCACCCCAAATACGAGCGCCGACTGGAAGAACGCTGAGAGCACCACCATCCATCCCCAGCCCCCGTCGGGGGGCTCAGCCCTGCGCGCCATTCGGGAAGGAACAAAGCTGCAGCCCCTGAGAGCCCTTGTGAGATCAAGGCTTCAAACCGCCCACATTGACCGACCCGGACGCTCGGGCGCCGAAATGTGGCTGGTCGCTAGGAAGTTACTGAGAAAGCATGGGGCGCCTGCGCCTTTCCCTCAAGAGGAGGGAGGTCTACGAGCTGGGACCTGCCACTGCCACCGATTAGCCCGCAGCTAGAATCCAGACCCGTGCCAAATGATTTCTTTAGAAGCTAGAGAATAGAACTGGGTTTGAGCCACAACCCCAAGGAGAGTCTCGTTAGGGATTGTGTTATCTTTGAGGATTCAGCACCTGCCTAAGTGGGCCAACATCCAACCCCAAGCTCGCCAATTAGGCTGCAGGTCTCCGGAGCAGGGGGTGGGTCCGGAGGGGGTGGGCGGGATTTACAGCATTGTTCTGAACCTGCAGTGAGAGGGGCGCATGCGTAAAGAGGGACTAGCCGAAGATAGGCCCCACGTGACAAGGGACCTACGGGGAGGGTTCTGCGGGTGCTGGAACCATTCACTTTTCAAGACTTGCATCTGAGAGCTAGTGGTGGATAAACTGGTCCTGGCCAGGCAGGAACCCACTTGCTTAGTGAGGCATCCAAGAATTGCCAGGGAGCGTGGGTACGAAGAGATAGGTTATGAGGTAAGAGTAAAACTGATAGCACCTGGGGCGGCTAGCAAAGCTTTGAAAATTCTAGACCGCTGGGTCCGAGAGGAACAGAAGCAGAGGGAAGACGGGAGAGGCCCAGCCTGTTATTCCAGCTGTTTCAGAGGCAGAGGCAAACTCATGGGTCAGCGTGGGCAAACCTAAACCCTGTCCCAAAACTTTAAAATAATTAAAGGTAGTATACAGTTTTGTGTAGATCCCGGTTCAATCCCTAGTGCTATGTTAAGGGGGGGGGGCAGACTTGTTGGACTCCTGGCATTCATTTCTGTAATGAGGATTACTGTACCCACCGACAGGAAACTTGCAGGTCACCGAGACCAAAAATAACGGAGGAGAGGAAGGGCGGCCATCAGACCATCCAGAGTTGCCCAGTACCACCTACCCTTTCCTCCGCGGCGCTGGAAGCTTTCCCCGTGTCTTCTAGTAATGGCCTTTTCCTAACCAGTTTTTGATCTCAGACTGATGTACACAGGAGACATGCCATAACCCCGGTCACTGGAGCAGTCAGTCAGCCTCCTACGTTTTGCCAGGCCACTAGCACGCCCTCACCTCATGACAGAAAAGGCTTGGGCTTTTCTGTTCCTTTATTGTATACCTCCGCCTCCCCAGGACTCTGACCTTGAAACCTTGGGTTCAGAATTCATACCCAGAACAGTGGGGAAGGAGGCAAAAGAGGGGCATGGGCCAAGGAACTATGCTTTTAAGAAATCGTACTGTAAGGGCTGGAACACGGCTCGTCGGGCTTTTCAAAGCAGCAGGGTTCAACTCTTGCCTGCACCCACACTGGTCAACACAGTGGCCTGTTAACTCCTGTTCCAGGGGATTTGACACCCTCTTCTGGCCTCCACAGGCACTGTACCCATGTGGGTCACTTAAATTCACAGGGGCAAAGAAACTCATGCACATAAAAATAAGCATATGAACCAAGTTTGATTGCACAGGCCTGCCTGCAACCCCAGAGGATAGCGAGCTCAAGGCTTGCTGGGACTACAGAGGGATGAAAAGGCCAGCCTGAGTCTCAAAGACCCAGGGAGGGGCTGGAGAGATGGCTTAGCAGGTAAAGTACTTGCTTTGGGAGTCTGATGTCCTGAGTTCAATCCCTGGAACATACAGAAACATGGAAAGAGAGAACTGACTCCACAAAGTTGTCCTCTGACCTCCACATGTACACATGCTATGTACATGTACACAAAACATCATACACATATGCACAATAATAAATTAGATCATTAAATTTATAAAACTAAAAGCCCCCTTCCTAAACCCAAGAGGTTTTTGGTTTAACATGTGGAAGTCCCCAGGTTCAATCCTTTGCACCAAGCAAAACCAAACCAAACCATATTTTTTAGTTGCATAGATGGAAAATGAAATAACTATACCAAAACACTATGGGTCTGCAGTCTGGTTATAAGTAGACTCATAAGAAGGGATCTGCCAGTGGTATAGGAAATAGTCAGATCTCAGGAGTCAAGAGTCCAGTCTTGAGATCTCTAGATCCAGGGCACAGTCCCAACCTTGAGTTTATTGCCTATTTTTTTTTAGACTTATTTATTACATATACAGTGTTTTGCTTCCATGCAGGCCAGAAGAGGGCACCAGATCTCATTACAGATGGTTGTGAGCCACCATGTGGTTGCTGGGAATTGAACTCAGGACCTCTGGAAGAGAAGCCAGTGCTCTTAACCTCTGAGCCATCTCTCCAGCCCATATGACTTATTTTTTTAAATAGATTTTCTTTTCATTTATTTACTTATCTATTATGTATACAGTGTTCTACCTGCATGTACGCCTGCAGGCCAGAAGAGGGCACCAGATCTCATTACAGATGGTTGTGAGCCACCATGTGATTGCTGGCAATTGAACTCAAGACCTCTGGAAGAGCAGTCAGTGCTCTTAACCTGAGCCATTTCTCCAGCCCGACTTTATGACTTATTACTTGGTCAAAATAGTTAAATTTCTCAGTTGGTTTCCTCACCTGTAAACTGGGGAGAACACTTCCTACTTTTTAGGGCCGCCCAGAGTTAAATGAGTAAGTCTGCACTAGAATGCTTTATTTAGGATCTGCCATTCAATAGGTGGTAATAGTAGCTGGTCTTATTTTCATTGGGGGGGACAAGCTAGAATGGAAAGTCACAGGGACTTTTGCTGCTTGTTTTTCAAGTATAACCTAGGTTATGAAAGAAAGGAAGAAAGAAAGAAAGAAAGAAAGAAAGAAAGAAAGAAAGAAAGAAAGAGAAACTTAAGCAGTCACTAAACTAGATTATCAGGGAGAACATCAGACTGAAGAAGCACAACCACACTCACCTTTGCCACCGGTGAGGCAATGTCCAGAAGGAGGCAACATTAGAATCAGTGACTTTTAGCCTTGGACTAGAACACACCTGTACGCCCTGGGACACACGGGTCAGGGGAAAAGACTCCTGTATTGGACATTAGCTAGATCCCAAGATATTAGGGCTGGGAGATGAACAGGCACACGGGCACTAACGCACTCGGCCTTCTCCTAGCTGCTCTGACTCGCCTCTGTTGTTCTTAGGGGACCCGAGCCCTACCCATTGTCTCTGGTGATGGTTGTGAGGGGTGCCTGGGTCACAAGAACCCGTGCTTGCAGATGCATTTCCCAGGCTCTTGCTTTCCTACTTTCTCTCCGAAGCCTCCACACCTCGGCCAGGAAGTGACTTCAGACCAGCAGGATGCAGGTGGCTCCGGATAAGCTTCATGAAGTCACTGGTTCCTACACAATGAGCCGGAAGGCTAGGGCAGGGAAGGGAGAACAAGGACCATTGAAGAGGGCAAGTGGGACACAACAGTGAAATGAACACAGAATCCAAGTTGTTATTTTTTTTGGAACCGCTTTCCAGGTTCCCAGGTGACCCTCCCCCCACAAACAAGCTAGGACACACAGAGGGCAAGAGAGGCTTCTTTATTCCATGGATCTGACCTTGCAGGATCGAACATCTCACGCCGGCACTTCCCACATGCCCATCCAGTCTGCCGAACAGAAACCGTAATACCTTCGCAATCTCTCCTCTGTCCCCCCCCACTTCGATTCTGTATTCAAGTGATGGGGAGGGGAAGGGAATGGCTTTCTCACCAGCCCCCAGCTGACGGTTTAATTCCAGAAGCTCTGCCTTGCAGATTCAAGTCTTCTTACCCAAGTCCTATCACCAGCTAAGGTCCTGGGGCAGCAAGAAGCAGGACTACAAATCGAGGCTCCCGAACATCATCTAACATTCCAGACACTCCATCTAACCAAGGAACTCCATCCCTAACATTTTTATCTGCATGGCCTACACCAGAATCTGCAGCCCTCGGCCAACCTCATGCACCATCTGGCGACCTGTTCACATGGGAGGGGTCTTTGGCCAACCCATCAACCAGGCTTTGAAAGCCCTGAAACATGTAATTCCAATGGCAGTCCTCGATGACCAGCATGGAACTCAGCCCCTTTGTCTCCCGTGTAAAGTCCAATGTCACAGACAGGAACATAGTGGAGGAAGACTGAGTCACAGACCCAGACTCTCAGGTAAGAGAATTACCAAGCACCTGTGAAACAGGAAATTTTTAGAATCTGGTCACTTTCCAGACGCTGTCCAAAACCAAAATTAAAAAAAAAAACCCACATTCAAAATGAAGGGCATATTGAACCCCAAGGAACATTTGCTGCAGCTTCTCCTGCAGCAAGGATGGGTCAGACTGGTAGCCAAGGTAAGGAATGGCATGAGTTCTCCCTAGGTCGTAACAGTCTCAGAAACTGGACAGATAAGAACAGGTTCTATAATCTCTGGTACAGATCTTTAGCTCTCTCCCCATGAAAACACTAATTCAACCTCAATGGGAGGATCATGGGCTCAGCACAGACCCTGAGGCAGACTCTGAGAGTTGGGCACAGAGCATTCAAACCCAGGTGGAAAGAGCAATGGTTCAGTTTAGCTGCTATGCTTTCCAGCCGGAGAGACTACCCACCTCCATTTAGAATGATGAGGAATCTAGGCCCCTCTTTCCCAGCCTTCAGGAGGAATTTATTATCCACATTTTATGTTCATCTAAAAAGGTTCCCATCACCCTCGAAGATCTGAACGTTCTCTTTCCATGTCTGCGTCTGCTACGGGACTTGCACCATCCAGAATACCAGAGAGGATTCCTTACCCAATCTTACATGTTCTCAGGGTCTGCCCTAGGAAAGCAAAAGGTCGCAGTCCTAGAACTGAAGGGACAAACCAACAAGCAAACAAACAGAAAAAGGGCGATTCCAGAGAGAAAGGTTACAAGGAAAACAACGCGAGACACTCATGTCAAAGGAGAGAGCCAAGTGCTAGGAAGCCCTGCCAGCAGAGCGGGGGAGCCCTCACCTTCCATGTCTCGGAAGACGGAAGTTGGAAAAGCAAGCAGAACGAAGGCCCTGGGGCCACCCACGGGCCTTAATAAATTATATTTACAGATAAACCATTTGGAATGGGGGAGGGGAGTAGGGGCAGGTTCCCGGGAAGAGAGCAAGTTCCCTTGCGTCTCTCCTTTTCCCCAGCCCCTAGCTATCCAATCTGGATTGTGAGGAAGAGGTTTTGACCAGCAAAACAGAGGCAGATCTAGCCAGGATCTGCCACCCCTGCTCTCCTCAGTACAAAATTAGGTGACGAGTTCCTGATACCAGAGTGGCCTGGCACACTCCTATCAAGACCGCCAGGGAAGCCAAGCCTGGGCCTGCAGCTTTGGCAGCCCCCTTTGGCAGTCAGTGTGGTCTTGGTGGGGGTTCAGCTATGGTCCCCCGAGGATGTGGTAGCGCACTTTAGTATTGGTAGCAGCCCCGTGTTTCTGACGCAGGTGCAGCCGTAGTTGACTCTTGTGCCGAAAATGCAGGCCGCAGGGGTCGCACTGTGGGAGGAAGGGTCTGTGAGGTCCCTACCCTTCCCCCAACCACCTTCAGTTGGGATGGGAAGGGGGAACTGTCCAGCTCTCGCTGACAATCAGCCCTGTAGCATTCACGCCCCTAATTCCTTTGGGGCGTCCAGGAGATGGGCCTTGCCTTACTTAACAAACACATTAACACTTGTTAGCCCCTTGGGACAACACTGCCTAGTCCAAGAATATAATTATCCCTTCCCCTCTCCCCAGTCCAAGTCCCTGGCTCACTTGGATTCTTTAGAGATCTAGCAGCGGTGGCAAGACCTGGTCGGGCCTGCGTGTGTGTGTGTGTGTGTGTGGGGGGGATAACGATTAGGCCCTGTAGGGTACCTACGTGGTATGGCTTCTCCCCCGTGTGGATGCGAACGTGGCTTTTGAGGGTCTGGAGGTGGCGGAAGCGGGTTCCGCAGGTTGGACACGGATAGGGCTTCTCTCCGGTGTGGATCAGCACGTGCGCGCGGAGGTGTGCCACCTGAGGGGGGCGGAGCCTTGAGATCGCCTCGGGGAGGGGCAGAACCCTCTCCGCTCCTCCCACTTGCCTTCCTGCCCTCTCCATACCTGAACGAAACGCGAGCCGCAGGTCTCGCACTTGTATGGTTTCTCTCCAGAATGGATGCGGCTGTGCGTTTTTAGGTTGGCTGGTCGGTTAAAACGTGCTCCGCAGATGGAGCAGCGGTAGGGCTTTTCCCCTGCAAGTAGGGAGGAAGACAGTCAGAGCGTCCTGAGAGAACGAAGGGCACCAAGACCAAGATCCCCTCCTACCTGTGTGCACTGTGCGGTGACTAGCCAGGTTGCCCTTATAGCGGAAGGTAGATCGGCACAGCTGGCATTTATAGGGTTTGTCCTCGTCCCCCGGAGCTAAGGGGTCCAGCCCCGATGAGCACCCAGCCACAGCTTCACATTTCTGGCAGCTGAAAAACTCACCTCCTGGAGAGCAATGACAACCTTAGTTATTAAGGCCTTCCCAGGTACCAGGATTTGTGCGCCTTTTAACCCCTAAGTTCCTGTGAAGGCTTTTGAGGACTCGCTTGGCTTACTCACAGCCGTACAGTCAGTGAGAGGTGTCTGATTCAGTAGTATGTTTAGAATTGTCGATAGTGGTGACACTATGTGGAGGTTCTTGCAAGTGGGTGGAGCTTTCTGTTTCTTTTCCTTCTTCCCTCACTCTGGGTGACAGATTGCCAGAGAGGCCCTGCCAAACTCTGGGCAGATTATTCAGGCCTGGATTGGACTAGGCCAGAAATTCCCAAACTGTGCTGTTCTTTGGAAGGACACGGAGGTTTTTTTTTTTTATTTTTTATGATTGGTCCCCACTCTCGGACATCACAGAAGGGTCTAGCATGCAGTCAAGTGTGGGGACTTTTAAACAGGTCATTTCTGAGGTCTTCTGATCCAGGTTGACCTGACACAGATATAGGAGAGAAGCCGGAAGAGAAAGAAAGAAGGGTTCTGACCTGGTGGTGGGTGAGCCTGCTTAGAAGTTGATCCAGAAGTTTCTTGAGCCCGGGGTGTGAAGAGGTAGGAGGTATTTGCTGGAGCTCCACATGTGAACTGTGCGGTGGCAGTAGCTAGAGATAGTCTAGGCAGATGGTAGGAGCCATAGAAAAGGTTAGGGGACACACACACAGACGGGGGTGGGGTGCTTTTTTCATGGAAAATATGGACCTATATCTTCTGGAAGGGAACTAATACTGACCAATAAGTCACATCCCCTCTGGCAGTTGGTCAGGTCCCTAAAGTGCGTTAGTTCCTCTGAAACCCACCCCCAGGTAGCATGTTAATGGTTCTGCCTGCTAAAGGAGGCCAGCCTCTAAAACTCTTGGGAGTTACAGCTTCTTTACCTGCTTTGGAGACCAGGCGTGGGGCCTTCTTCGCTGCTTCTGTTGCTGGAGGCTTCATCTCCGCTAGGGAGCCTGGCTTGGGGACAGGGTTGACTAGAACTCTCCCCAGCCATGCTCCCAGCTTGTGAAGTCTGAGAATTTAGCACAATAAATTTGTACTTTTTCCAGTTACAGGCCTTGGGGTCTGGGCTAGCTGGGCTTGGGGAGCCTTGACTGCAGCTTCGAGACTCAGTAGGAGGGTCTGGGTGTCCTTCGGAGCGCCTGGGGCTGCCTGGTGGAGGGGCTGTCGGGGGGCTTTGGGGTTCTGCTTCCAAGGGTCGCAGGGAGATGCCTAGAGGCTCGTAGCTAGAAAAAGTATGACGGTCATTAACACCGTTTCCTAATCGTTGCTTTTGCCCATAATACCCGGAGCACCACTTTCATGGAGAACACAAAAACCCATGGTTCCTTCACCTGGCTTGGATGAAGCGGTGGCATGCCTGGACGACATGTTCCATCTGCAAATAGGTAGCAGCCGCCAGGACAGCTGGAGCAGTGGCTGGAGAGAGGCGAAGCCTGGAAGTGTACATGAAGTCCAGAAGAGGGGCAAAGCCTCTGGCTTCTGGCCCGCCGGGCAGAGAGAGAACATCCACTCCCACTCCTGCTCGGCCTCGGAAAATTGAATAGAAGAAGCCACTGGAGAGAGGGCAATTGGGACATGTTAGGAGGTGAGAGCCCGAAGGAGACACAGGATGCTTTAGAATCTTTCTGCCCCACTAGTATTGCTACCCCAATTCTTGGATGCTTCCCCATGCTTCTCTTTCCTGCCCCCCCCCCCCCGCTTCCCCAGTTCTGGATTACAGGTGCGGACCATTATTGACCATTATTCCTTACTTCCCTCCCGCATTGGATTGCCTCTGAACGGCCTTGTGACTCTGTTCTCTACCCAGTTAGCCCTGGAGCCCTACCCCCTCGAACCTGCAGGCAATAAGAACTGCCTTGTGCGCTCTTAGGGGTTGCCCGCCAACCAGCAGCGTGACGTCAGTGAGGATCCCGCGCAGGCGCAGCTCATTCAGATTGCCAAGCACGTCGGAGGAGTGGCGCGTGAACTCTCGGACGTAGCCCAGCGCTCCCTCTGGGGCCGCTGTGGAACCCATAGCGACCCAGGCCTGCGCCAGCCACGAAAAAAGTTAGGGGATCCAGGCACGCCTAGGACACAATCCCTTTTCTGCTGATGTTTTCTTTCCGGGTGTCCATAGAGCCAACGCCATCAGATAACGGGCCCAGCATCAACAGCCCCACTTAATTCATCTCGTTCATTCTGCCTTCAGCGGTAGCTTCCTTCCCTTTGCTGGACCGCAGAGTTCTTAGAGCAAGTTAGAAATTCTCGTACCTCCGCCTGGAGGATGGGCGCGAGGGCTCCCGCACTCCCACACGCCGCGCGTTGGTTCCACTCTAGGTACCTCATCGACTACCTCCCTTTTCCCTGCTTTCTGGCGCGCCTGGGTCACAGGTATCAGACCTTGCCCGAGGACCTCATATGATCTTCAGCCCACACCCTTCCATGCCCATGTAACTGCCATTGCTAGATCCCATACTCCCCAGTCTCTTTTTAGAACAGTTTCTGGGATTCAAGTCTTATTACCATCAACAAACCCCTAACCCACTTTGGGGACCCAGAAGTCTGATTTCTTCAAGGTTTGGTTCTTACCCCTGTCCTGCAGGGGCTGCGGCTTCTCTCCTCGAGGGGGGCGGGGTCTCTCTTCTCTTTCGGCCTCGGCTCCTTTATCCGGCCGGGATGTCGGGGGCGGGGGTAGAGGTGGGGTGAACCCGTGGGTTCGTATCCTTCCTTCCTCTTTCGCTCTCCAGATGGTGAGCCCGGGGCGGGGTCTCTGTCTCAAACGCTGTATCTCAGAATCGCGGGGTGGTCGTATCATAGGGGGCTTTGGTTCGTTAAATGGGTACCCGAGAATGAGGATATTAGAATTGGTGAGGCGGTTAGTGGTATGGAAGGTGGTAATATGGGAGCCTTGTGTCGTCGGAGGACCTGGGACAGCGAGAATTGAGTTTTGGCTTTTGAAAGAGGATGCGAAGAGTCTGTTGAAGGAGAAAGGGAATACCGTAAACCTCCCCTTTCTAATGTACTGAATTCAGGGAGCAAATAGCCCAAGCTCTCGGGTTTGGGCAGGCAGTAGTGGATTCCCGAGGGGGGGGGTCTCAAACAGTGGGAGGAGGCGTGATTGACAGGCAGGGTCCACAAAGTGGGGGGGGGGGTCTGACCAGGCGGAGTAAGAAGAGGGCGGATATGATTTCTAGTTCGTTTCCTTCCATTGTCCTGCGACCGGACGGCTCCTGCAGCTGCTTCCCCTCGAGGAGGTGGGGAAAGCCCCGGGTGGGGACCGAGAGACGCTCGGGAGACCTAGGCGTCCGGCCTCTTACTCCCGATTCTCTTCTGAACCCTTTTAGGAATCCAGAAAGACTCCCGCCCAAAGCTCTGCTGCTCTCGGTCAGTCCTAGCTCACTAGGGCCTCGAGCACCCACCGGTCGGCTGCGCTTAGAGTCTGGCGGGACGCCGGGGTCCAGCGCGGCAAGTAGGCAAAGCTCGGCAATGTCTGCATCCTTCCACGAGGGGGCGGACGAGCACAAGCCTTTCTTCGCCCCTAGGTCTCCTCCCGGCTGGAGATGTGCTCAGACCAGAGAGCAGGATGCGTTCAGTCTGGGCTACCGTAACCTTTTGCTGCCTTCTCTTGGCGAAGAGTTTACTCTGCACCTCTGTCTCTTAGTGCGGCACTAGGTAGAGGACAGGAGAGTTAGGGTCTCCGAAGGAAACTCGAGTTGGAACTCGTGTGGAATTGACCTTGGAATGAGGGGAGAGTTTGGACAGGAGTGGGGTCTTGAGCCTGGGAACACCGGGTTATCTTTTTCTAATTGGACAGACACTGCTATCCAGATGTCTAGAGTTTTGAGTGAACATTAATTGAACATCGGGTGGAGTAAACGAGAGGACCGAGGAGAAAGGCAGGAAGGACGCGGGTAACCTTATTTTAAGTCCTCCATCCAGGAGATGGGCAGCGGCCACACCCTTAGATTTTGTTTGGGGAGCCTTGTGGTGGGAAGACAAGGTTCGTTTGAAAAAGAGTGGTCAGAGCTGAGCCCAGGAGCAGAGCAGGAGCTCTATGGTTATGGGGTCAGGAGTCTACGAAGCTGGCCTAGAATGAGGGAACACTCACCGTGGAGCAGCGTAACTAGGCCTGAGAGCTCTTTCTCTCCTGTTCCAGGGGACTTTTTTGTTTGTTTGTTTGTTTGTTGTTTTTGAGCAGATCCACAACAAACAAAACAGCAGACCAGCTGAGAATCAGGGATAACCTAAGGATCGGGATGAAAATGTGTCTTTACTTATCAGGGTTATTTTGGTCTCTATCCAATTTTTACCTCCAATTTTGAGGTGTAAACATCAAGGGCTCCCTTTGATGTTCGCTTGGAATTAGGTATGTGGTCAGTTTTGGGGTGCCATAGGATGCTAATAGAGTCCATGGGGCCTGATTTTTAGTCTTGAGAGCTAAGAGCAAGCTGGAAGCATGGGTCTGGTCTTAAAGGTTTGGGGAGGGGGTTCCGATGACCATGATTTTGAGACTGTCCATCTCTGTTATTTTGGTCTACTGGGAGAGTTTTCCAGGTGCTCTCTGTTTCAAGGTTTAGATGAGATTGTTTGGGGACATAAAATTGAACTTGGAGCTTTTAGGAAGCAAAATTACATTAAGTTGGAGGCAGAGCAGGAAGCTAGGAGCAAGTTCGAAGGCTTTAATAGTTGAGAACTTGATGGGGGGGCAAAGTTTTATATTTGAATCTTGTGGAATCTCATTTTGAGGGGAGGATATTCCTGTGTACCTGTTTAGGTCTGGAGCTCTTCCAGAGGAGAGACCATGAGACTCCCCCCCCCCCCATAGGATAGTTTGGGGGTGTCCGACTTCGGGGTGTTTTGTCATTGGCCACACTTGGTGAAGCGGAGATGGATCGTAAATTGAGATTGATTTGGAGGCTCACCTATTCTAGGGTGCATTTCTGGTTTAGGTTATCTTTTGCTGATAGCCCCCTTTTGCCCCAGATTCCAGAAAGTTCTATTTTAGTGAACCCCCAAATAGTTTGAATTTGAAGGGAGAAGCCTGGAAAAAGCAGTTTGTTTCATCATAGAATGATTAGTACGTGGCTTATAGAGCTGAGGGGGGAAAGGTGGCTTCACACTCTGAACCCCAATTTCTTATGGAAGAAAAAAAATCTGTGGAGGAAAATGGGGTGTCTCTTGTTAAAGTGGGTGCTTCTGACCAATATAGTGCTGCTAAAACTGGCAAGGAGGGACTGTAGTGGGCTATAAGGAGGTGATTCTTGCACCCTGGTTTTTTAGGATAAAAGCCCCAAACAGAAAGCCGACAGAGGACTAGGAGTGAGGGTGAGCTGAGGGGGGAGGGGTTCCCAACGGCAGCAGGGGCTAGAGGGTAAGCCAGGCCAGATATTCCCGCCTAGGTCCCTGTTCTCTTCGGCTCTCCTCCCCTCTCTCCCTCCCACCGCCCCCCCCCCCAACCCAAGGAAAAAAAAACTGCCTGTGCAATAGCAATGGCAGATTCCAGTCCTCCAGGCTTCCCTAAACCACCACCGAGACCAGCCAGGGGGGAGGGGAGGGGAGGGGAGAATCGGGCTTTCCTGCTTCCTTGAGACAGGGGCAATGAGCTTGACCTCTTGGCCCCTAGCCCTCTAAAGAGTGTCCCCCGGTCTGGAAGCCAGGTGTCCTGGACCCTAGCCCCCAAGCGGGGGGGCCTGGAGAAACGGGGAGGAGGAAGGAGGGAGTGACTTCCAAAATTGGCATCGGGACAGAGCAGGGCTGGCGGGAGGCAGGAGAAAGACAGAATTTTCCTGAAAAAACGGGGGTATCTAAGGACCCCAAATTTGGGTAGCTAGTCCAGGACCGTCTTCCCAACATCCTAGATTTTTTTGGGATTTTTTGGGGGCCCCGGGACCCCTCTAGATGGGGTGAGGAATGTAGTGTTGGGGGAATCTGACTGGGGCATTGCAGCTGCCTCTCCCGCCGAGTTGGAGACGGATGGGCTGGGACGGGTTTTGGGGGGGTGTCCCCAGTTCTGACTGGGAGTGGAGGAACCCCTCCAGAGCTCTCTTGTGGGGGTCCCCCTCCCCAGGGCACACCCCAGTCCTTGAGCCAGCTGAGAGGAAGGAGGCCAGCGATGCGACTGGGGCGGCTCTTTTTTCCTGCACCCCAAATGTGAGGGATGCACCCCCAAATTTGCTCCTTTCAAAATAGGGGACCAGGATCTCAGGGGAGAGTAGCTGAGGTAAGTGGGGAGGAAAGTGTCCCCTGTTTTCAGGAGAGACGTGGCGGTTGGGGGGGAGGTTTGGAGGTGCGTGCTGGGGTGTGGTTGGGCTCTGTAACTCTTGAAATTGGGGGGATGACCAGAGAACCTTTCTCTTGTACCCCTAAGATGTAGTCCTCCAGATTGAAACCAAAGCCTGAGACTTGAGAGCCCCCCCCAATATCCCCAGACATTAGGATAGTGTTTGATTTTTTTACCCCCACAAAAGCTTTGCTGGGATGGGAGCTGGGGGCAGCCGTTGTTTGGGGGGCTCTGGAGGGTGTAAGGAGCAGGAGGCCTTGGCAGGGATGGATATAGGACAGGTAGTAGTCTTGGAGAGGGTCTGACATCCTCAGGGGGCCTAAAAAGACTGCTTACACTCACCATCTTAGATTTTTTGATTGCTAAGAGTTTTGGGGGTGTGTCGGAAGCTTGGTGGTGCTGGTGGTGAAGGGTGGGATGAGAGATGGGAGGTTAATATTTGGGTATTACACTGTTTTTTGTTTTTAATTTCTAGAAGAAACTTTTGCCTTCTGGGAGGTTCTTTTTAAAATCAAATCTTGGACAGAAGGAAAAGGCTAAGGGAAGGCCTAGGGTTGGGGGTGGGGAGAGACATGTTTGTCTTTGCTTAAACGTGGCTCTCAGGGGTGGGCCTGCCTGCCTGGGCCTGGTGAATGGGCTAATGAGTGTTGCTATGGGGGTGGGGCGTGGGTCTTGGGGGACCATGGGAAGTAGCAGCAGCACTTGGGGTTGAATTCTTGGCCCTTAGGTTCAGATGAGCCTCTTCCTGGGCTCTGCTGCTCCTCTTTCTCCCTGGCCTCCATTTCCTGCCTTTGGCCTCCATCTTGTGGCAGGCCCAGGGCCCAGGGTGACTTCCGGCCCCCCTGTCTCAACCGTGTTCCAGCCCCACCACCTCTGGACTGCCAACTCCCAACCCTGCTGTCCTTGGCCCTGTCTCTTCTAGCATTTCTCTTGGGTTCTGACCTAGCGAGGGAGGAATGGACACAGGAAGCCTTAGGTCCCTGCCTCTGTCGGGAGGCAGTTTGTTGGTCTTCCCTAGTCACCCCTGTTTCTTCTGCCCCTAACCTAAGGATCCCGAGCTCAATTTCTACAGAAGTCAAGAATGTTCCAAGCTTATCAGACTGAACCCTAGCCTCCCTATTGCCTGCTAAGCTATTGCAGATTCCCGTTTTTTTCCAACCCTTTTTGGGGCCATGTTTGCCATTCACACTCTCTCCATCTTCTCACTCTTGGTGGGGGTCTTCATGGCACTGTCTTGTGCCGTCTTCCTCTCAACCCATCCAAGTCCTGCTCCCGCCCCAGCAGCACACTGTGGTTTGTACGGCACTGTGGCCACGTCCAAACCACACTGTGGTGTTAGAGCGAGGGTGGGGGAGGCACCGCTGAGGCCTGGCCCTGGGAGGCCACCCTGGAGAAGCCGCACAAGAAAACCCATCTGTGGTAGTGATGGGGTCCTGGCAAGGGGAGGGGGTATGAAACACGGAAAGAGCCCCTCTAAACCCCCAGGTAGTCTCATGTTAGCTGTCAGCAACCCTGGGAATAAGTTCCGGCCTCCAGAGCAAAGTAGAGTCTTTGTTGCCGACACCCAGCTCTCCTGGCTCTAGCAGCACAGAAATATTGGCACTGGGAAGCGAGTCTACCAGTATTGGCTGTGCTGCTCCAGGCAGGGTGGTGAGAGCTACTGAGAAGGGGCCGGGCCCCGAGGGAGAAGCAGAGGAGAGGGAACGGCAGCTGGCAGCACCTTACTGAGAGAGTTTTTTTATTATAGTTTTCTGTATAAAAATGTCCATCAGCAGACGGAGGTCAGA